GTGATCAGCGTTTTTGTATTGTTTTTTTTGAATGGTACTTATAATATTATACTATTAAATGAACATAGTAGTACATAGTGATCCCAATTTAAAGACCTTTATCCACACACAGATATGTGTGGCTGTACATATATTATATCTTTTTCTATCATATTTAATCTGATATATACACACCCCAAGATGTTTAATGTGATTACACTTGAATGGTAGGCTTTTCTCTTTTTTTAATTTAAAATTTTCTACAAAGTACTGGTATTATTTTTAGAAAAAACGCCTACAAATGTTATTTTTTAAATGCATAGAAGAGAAACTGTCTAAAAAAGACTGGCCAGAGACCAATGGAAAACTGATGGTCCCCAGGAGATGAATCAGTGGAACCATAAGTGTTTCCTCGGGTCATTACAAAAGGGAGCTGTATGGGACTTATAAAAGTGTAATTGTTACTCTCAAACTCACTAAGTTTGTTAAGGTTACTAGGCTTAAGTAACTCCAAAATAAACACATTATCCTTGGGTCTCCAATACTGTCCTCAGTTAAAGTCTGTTACAGTGAGGTTCAGAAACATTAAGAGCATCCCTCACTGAAATTCTTGCTTGGGGACCCAGATAATAACCTTATACCACTGGAAAAACAGGTTTCAGAATACCTAAAATAAATATAAAGTTAATGGCAGCTCCACTTCCTAGTCAACATGATCCTATAGTAGTAAAGGTGTGATTCAACCATCAAAATGTTTGCAAACAAGAGCTCATGAATGATCCTCCTTTAATCTCTACACTGCTTATTAGCATTGTTTTAGCAGTGAGCCGTCTCAATATTGATGAGATGCAAGTCCAATTAAGTGACTATTGTCAGCATCTATCAGTTAGCAACCATCAGACTGCATCCCTAAAAAGCAAGCTAAAGCAATAAGGCAAAACCTTACTAAACGCATTTGCAAGAAGAGAAATGTACCAATAAAGCAATGCCAAGAGCATTTTACATTTGCATAAGTTAGGAAATGAAACCTAACAACTACAAGAAACAAATTCAACTCAACACTGAGGAATAACAAAAGCAACACCATTGTTATCACAAGAGATCTCTGGTCTAGCTTCCAGAGTTGCCACTAGAAACAACCAAGAAATCTGTTAATGCCTTTAAGGGTAATGGCAGAGAGCAGAACTTGAGAACTGAGAATGTTCCAAGTACTGAGGACTTCTTGCCTGTCACTGCACACCACCCCACACCACCCCACATACACAGGAGCCTAAGTGTAAGCCTGCCGAGACACAACAACATACCATCCCTCCACCCTCAACTGCACACCAACTTCACCCTTACCCTAGGTCTTAAGGGGAGTTTTATCCTGTGTAAAAATAAATGACGATCACCAAGAAAACAGGATCCATTGTGCAGCCAATTTTGCTGAAATATAACCATCCGGAAAAGTCAGGGGTCCCCATATAAGTTCTACAAACACACTGAGAAGGATTTTAAATGTGTTATCTAAAAAATAAATAAATAAAAATAAAAAATAAAAATAAAAATATTCTTTTCTTTTAAAAAAATAAATAAATAAATGTGTTATCTGTGTTCTTTAAGTTACTTTATTTCCAAGAAGTCAATGTTACATAGTATTTCTTGACTAAATTGACTGTGCCAGTAAAATACAGGGAGAAGTATTACTTCTGGACCTAGTTTCCACCTCTAAGGAAAGCCTTTCCATTTTTACAGCTAACATGACAAAATCTACTTTTCAGCCAAACTTCCTCAACACAGCAGTTTAGATACAATTTCAAATACTATTAAATTTAATGGCAGGCCTAAATTCAGACTTCTCATTTCACTTTTGCACCTACTGGAAATTATTTCACTCAAAATAATTATGTCTTCAGACGATTTCCTATTTCCACTTAAAGTGGAAACAAATTAGAACACTTCAAATTCTATCTGCACTTCCCAAATACAGTAATGACTCATTTATCTGGCATCATCGGAAAATAAGGTTCTCCACGTTAAGTGTTTTCCAGATAAACGGAGTCCAGAGGAGCAGAAAGCTCACCCGCCTGGTTCCCTGCTGTATGCCCAGGGCCCAGAGTAGGGGCTGGCACTCAGTAGATGCTCAGCAACACACACTGAACGTGTGATTAAATAAAGGCCCAAAGTTCTTTTACTTCCAACCGTTTGATGAAAATTCTTCTACACTGGCCACCTGGCCATCCTTCTTTTTCTCTTTTATACAAACACAACACTGAACAGAAATTAAGCTTTTCTTATTAATTAAGAGTATCCCCATAAACAGCAAACATGCTACACTCCTACCATACACCTATAATGCCCTCAGAAGCTATTCAAATAACATGGCCTTTTGCCACCATATTTAAATGGCCTCAACATGCTGTGTTTGCATAACTTTTCCTTTTCTGTTATTAGCTGTCATTTCTGCTTGCAGATGCTGCCATATTTTACACACAGATGTCTGGTAACGTTCCAAAATTAATACTATCTCCTAAGCAGAATAAAATATGTGGACTTGGTTAGTCTTTACCACTTGCTTCTGACCTGTGACTAGCTTCTGATTCTATTTATTAAACGGACTCCTTGTACCAGCCAAAACATTCTACATAAAATCTGAGATGGTTCTACTAGTTTTAAATGAGAATCTTAAGGATTTTAATTTAAGTTCTAAATTTCAAATACTAATCATGAGTAATGGCTTGAAGACTAGCTCCAATACAAACCTCAGAGGATATTTTTTTAATCCATTTAGGAGACACTAAGAACAACAAAGCTGGAGTTCACCTTGCTTGATACGGGGTGATAGGGTCCTAATTTAGAGTCACTGTTCAAGAGTTCATGGCAGCAGAACTCAAGCACACTGGTGGTCATGTACTGTGCTCAGCACAGCAAGGCACATCTCCCTGAACCTAAGAGTGGAAGGATAATTTAAGTTCAGCCTTAAGTTTATATAATACAACTAGAGTTCCTTCCCCACAACAAACTTTGAATAATGTTTATAATTTAGCAATCAACTGAAATGATGAAAGAATTACCACAATTGAAATAAAATATTTATGTATTTCAAATCAGGAGAACTGTGTCTTCAAAAACTAAAATAAGCTAAGACAAACCTAGTTCTGAATTAGGGATGGATACAAATAAAATGGGGGATTTGTTTATTCGTGTTTTTGAGTCTCTTTTCTTCTTTTTAAAGATTTAATGAACTTTCATTTGAAATAAGCAGAGTTTACTAAATTAAAGGATTTGATTATGTGTTCTTTAAAAGTAACTAGCTGAGTAAACATTAAAGCAAGTTATCCAGGAGTCAAGAAAAGAAAAATTACTTCAGACTGTTTTATGAATATTCTTCCAAAATCACCAATCCTTCAGCAAAAATAGTTCAACGGAAGATTTCGGTTCCTGGTACTGAACTGAACAAAGAGAACCACATGTTTCTAATGGCTGCTCATAAACGACCCAAATAAATCTCCAGAAGAACAGCAGTGGTTCTCTCTGTATTTTTCCCTTCAAAACTCACAAGACCAATTCAACACAGAAATAAAAATTACTGTACTTTATGGCACCACTCACTTTGTGACACATTTATTTGCTGTCATGAAAGTTAGTGCCTCAACAAAGTAAATGAGATTTGGGGGAAAACTTTTTTTTATATTTTAAACAGCACAAAATGTCCTTACCATTTGAGCAATAAAGAGTTTGCCCACCTCAAATGAGATTTTCAAACCAAGTGAGAGACCTAAGCATTTATATATAAAGGTTACAAGGAAGCTTTCCAAATAGCTTTCCAATCAATTATGATGCTGACCTTAGAACAGAATTACACTGCTAACTACCACTTATCAGAAATGAAGCCTACACAACAGAAAATATAACTTAAATTTAACCACTGATGTTCTTTTTACTTTCCCTGACTTTGTGAATTAAAACATGGAGCAACAGCACACCCTGCTGGAAGTCAGTAACACAGCTAGAATAACCAGTAGCAATGGACTGTTAAAATTTCACCTAAGATGAAAATCACTTCAGGAAGAAACTCTGATCTCCCACCAAATGATAAAAGAAGTTCACGAGCATTACCATTACGTGCCTAGATATGTGACCTTAAAGATAAAATTAAAAATTCACTAAAGGATACTGCTCTTTCCAGCTCATTTCCCTAGCTCCACACAGCCCCAACCACTCCAAATAACTTCACTATTTTTTATTTTATCCCTAAATAAAATATATTCAAATCCACTTTCTGCAAAGAGAAACTGGTAATCACATAAGAGGAACTTGAAGCCACTTTCTGCACGTGACTGCCTGAAGCACCCCTTTCTTCTTCCCATCCCAAGATATCTTGGCCTCAGAAACATCCCTGAAGACCACCATTAAGAATTCACAAGGCAGCCTAGCGGTCCATGAACCACAATTTACATATCACTGGCAAAATTCCTACACAGATTCTGGAATTCAAAACATGCAGACTATATTAAGAAACCACATGCTATGAAATTCCCATTGAGTACCTTTCAACAATTTTCATAGACGTGAAAAATCATGGAAGCCACTGTCTAGGTAATCCAGCTCAGCGCTCTCCCTGTAGCAAACTCACAGGAACCGGAGAGTGTGCAGAAAGGTACTGAGGTTTCTTAAGTGTGCCCTCTTGGTTACAGAAAGAAAGCTCCCTGGTACACTGATCTCCCTCCTTAGAGAAAATTGCCATTTCAGCACTTATCTACACTGTTCTGAGTGACCAGTGTTAACTTTTTGGCTCCTTGCTCCCACATGCAGAAGGTTCTAATTGACCAGTGGTCAACTTAGAGCTCTCTTTATCACAAAGCCCAGCAATCCTGAAAAACCAGTGCAGATCAAACACTTCAGTGCAGTGCAGTTTTTTTCTCAAGAAATTCAAAAACCATTACATCTATTTTTCTGAAGTTGTCTCCAAAGATGAGTTTGATTCATCATTTCAATCAAAGTACACATTCAAGGCTGAATATTAAAAGGATACCAACCTCAAGCCTCTTTTCCAGCGACTCGATTCTGTCCTTTTTGCTAGCAAGGTTGGCCCGGGTGTAGCGGCTCTGCCCAGGAAGATACAAAACTTGACTGTAGCACTCTTCCCACACCTGGTTATAAGCTTCACTTGAGAGCTCTCCGTGGCTCATACCTTGTTTGACCACTTCCATCTCCTGTACCAGAACATCCTGAGCCTGTTCACAATAATAATTTCAGTAAGCTTGAGTACTAGAGACAACTGCCATCAGTAGAAAGTTTTAGAAGACCAGTCTTTCCCTCCCTGGGCAAAAGCAATCAGCCTTTGGCTAACTGACTGTTTTTTGGAAGGGGGTAATAAATATCTAAGTGAAACAAATTAAGAAGCCTAGAAGTCAATGCAGATTGATCTGAAGAGTCAAGCATCTATGTATTACCCCCAATAATATAAACATTCTTTGCCTTCACTCATTAAAACAGCAACTACCATTTCTCAGGTGTCTACTATGTGTCAGGAACTGGACTGAAAAGTTTTACCTATTTTATCTCCAAACAGCATACCACTCTTACCAAGCAGTCAACATTAACCTCACTAAAGTTCATGATGCTCATCAAGTTCATTAACCTCATTACAGTTCACGAAGCAAAGGCTTGAGAGGTTAAACAATTTGTTCAAAAACACAATACCAGTAAGCAGAAGAGACAGGCTCACACCCAAACCAAAGGTGACCACTGCATGGGGGTGCTCCTTCCACTCACCATCAACCCCAACACTTCCGACTTCCCAGTACAGTGAAGGGGAATTAGGCGGGGTTTTTTTCTTCTTTTGACACATGCCTTTTTTCTCATCTGAAAGAATGTCCCTGACATTACCAGAGAATAGGACTGGAAGCACAGATCAAATAATGACAGATCACAGACCAGTTGCTGGTCACTAGAAAAGATATGGTTTAAGATGATAGAATGAGGATGGAATTGGACAAGTGAAGTCCAATCACAGCTTTAGCATTTAAATAGCTATCTGAACTTGCTGAACTTATGTAAGCTCGTTTCTCATCTGGAGAGGGGAGATAATACCTAACATGTTTGTTATGAGGATTAAGTGATACAGCAAGACACAAAGAGCCAGCCCAGCACCAGACACACAGACTCCTTCAGCATACCACATGAACTCTTTCCAGCCCTTTGCTTCATGGCTCATGAAAAACCAACAATTACTTTTTGTGCTTTATAGAAAGCTCTCAATCATTTCAGGAACATCAGAAAATAAACACAGACCAAAACATAAGAAAAATCAAGATAAATAACAAGCATATGAAAAAAATTTAAACCAAAAAAAGGCAGGGGGAAATCATGTCTACAGAATATAAAGAACGGATCCTTTTAAATGATACCTCTTAGAGGAAATAATGGAAACAAACCAATTTTAACACACTTAATGACAACTGGGCACTTTATTATCAGTGAAATGGTATTTCACTCTGAAACTGCACATGGTAAAAATTGACAAATTTAACTCTTATAATAATTAGGAGAAAGTATAGCTAAGTTCCAATGAAACTGTGCCTAAAGAATCTGCTAAGTAAATAGCTGCTTCAAATTTTTCAGAACACAGGGGAGTATAAACAGATAAATAAAATACAGAAGAATGAACTACTTTGTAATGGTTTCAAATAAAATTCTAAAGCGCTACTTACAATTATTATTTTCAAAACATGCATTAGAATCTGTCCCTTACAGAACTTCTATTAGTAACAATGTGATCTTTGGTTCAGGTTTCCATATATACAATAAATTTAGGAAGACTGATTTCCTCAAATCTATCTTCTCCTCATATTTTCACTCTAACAAGAGGAAACTGTTCAAGCAATGAGTTCATTATCTAATTCTCAACAGAGGGCAGCTTCCATGGCACTTACTAAAAGACAGCAACTCAAAGTTACTCAGAAGCAAACTGAAACAGAAATCCAAACCCTTCTTCCTCTATTTTCTAAAAATTCTGTAATAAACATGTATCACTTATACAGTACAAAAAAGGGAAAGTAAGAAAGAGAGAAGGCAGGTACAAGAGAGACAAGAGACAAAAGAATCTGGTTTCCCCCAAGTCAGCCCATTCTAACGGACAGTACTTCACTGCCCCTCAGAATGAAAGACTAAAGAAAGAAGACTTCAGTAAAAGACCACCCTTCTTCAACCATGACACCAACTCTCTCTTCCTGTATCACTGTACAGATTTCTAGTCACAATCACAGCTGTTTGCTCTGTCGAAGCAGAAAGAATAAAATGCATATGGAGGGAGAGGTAGGACAGACGTTATACAAGAAAACATTTCTTTATCTCCTTATCCACAAGGGTGGGGGAAACCATGTCAGGGAAATAAATGCAGTAGATGGTATTTCCTTTCTGTGACTAGATGAAAGGTTTAATCTGTAAATATTTTAATACATTCTTATTTTTTCATAGTATTCTAAGTAAGTGAGGTTTAAGTATTAAAGGCAATCCCACTCTATTCAGAGACAGCAGAATTAAACCCAGAAAATGGCAACTGTAGCAACAATCAATGAGGCACACATCCATGAGACAAAAACACCTTGCCATCAAAGCCAGTGTCTATCTGATAAAGGTCTATCACTGAACACTGTGGAGAGGGGAGGATGTCCTCTGCATAACATTTAACATGAAAATATCTCTCTTAACCATATATTTCTGTTGTTTATAAACATCAATATGGGAAAATATGTTCATGTTTGTCCATGATACACAGTATCTAACACATACTTAAATCTTGAGACAAAAATACTCAATGATACCTTTTTCAGCTCTTCCTTGGAGAATTTTTCATAAGGGTTATGTTCCAGATAGGCAATGTGCTCTGCATTGTTGGTACCAAATCCTACAGTTTTTCCTTTTTTATTTCCAGATGGCTCATAAGGGTGGTGTAGAAGGTCATAATGAAGCATCGTGATCATTTCCTTTTTGATCAGTTCTTCACTTTTCTGTAAATCTGTTAGAGGTGGTTCTACATTTAAGGGTCTTAGAATTGTTTCATTTACCTAAAATTTTAAACAAGTACAATTATTAAACATAGTACTGCAACATACTAATGTTACTACTTCTAGTAATGAATTAAATACAAGCACACTTTGTTTTACTGTGCTTCACTTAACTGAAATTTGCAGACAAGGTGTTTTTCTTTTCATAAACTGAAAGTTCATGGCAACACTGAATTGAGCAAATCTATTGGCACCATTTTTTCAACAACATTTGCTCATTTTGCCTATGTCACACTGGCAATTCTTGCAATATTTCAAACATTTTTTTCATTACTACTCTATCTGCTATGGTGCTGTGATCATTAATGCTACTACTGCAAAAAGATTATGACTCAGGGTCAGAAGCTTAGATGATAATTAGCACTTTTTTAGCTATAAAGTAGCTTTTAATTAAGGTATGTACTTTTTTTAGACATACCACTACTGCACACTTAAAAAACTACAGTTTAGTATAAACGTTAACTTCTATATGCACAAGAAAACAGAAAAATTCACACTTTACTGAGTGAAAAGCATTTCACTGCAGTGGCCTGGAACCAACCTGCAATATCGCCGAGGTATACCTAAAGCAGTTTAACATTTTCAAAAGAAATTATTTTCTTTTTTCTTTCAAAATTCTTATTTGTACCAGTGAAGCATTTCAAAGATTGGATCTGGGAACTGCTTTACTATATTCCAGAAAGTAGATGAAATGTTGTTTTATAGACTTTATGAATAATATAAAAAACATCAATCACATAAAAAGAAACTTAAAACTTCCTAAGGCAGAAATTCTAATACTTACTTCTGATGGTCTTGGCAGATCCTTCTGGACAGCTTTGTGCATTCGTTTCATTTCCTTTACACGCTCTGCATCTCGTATGGCCTAAAAAAATTATTTTTATAACCGTTTTTACAGCTATACAGTATCTGACACATTTCAGTAAAGGTGAAAACACTTTCGTCTACGAGAACGTGTATGTGCAAGAGCTAAAGCTGTACTAATCTGTGTAAGTCTGCAGGAAGGCAATGTAACACCACTGAAATTAGCCAGTCTATTCATTCTCTTGTTACAGCACAAACTAAGAGCCTCCAACAGCTACTAGGAGCATTCTCCGGATTTGCATGGGTCTCTCAATCAGATAATCATTCTTTTCTTGTCTAAAAGACCAAATCCTAAACTTAGAGGGGATGCTTCCAATTATCCCTCCTGCCATACAACCTTTCCCTTCCACCTCAGAGGCTACTGATTTTTTTATTTAAAAAGCCAGCCAGCAAGGGTGCTGTTTTATGACTTAAATTATGAATAATGTGGGTTAACACAAGAGAACGTCAAACCATTTTTTAGAATAAATGTAGCTCAAAATAGCTAAGAGAATTAAATTCATAAAGTATTATCATATATCCCTCACCAAAAAGCACATTCATGTGGTTTCTCTCTAAAGCATGACTTCCATCACTCCAATCCCTAGAAATGATTCAATTTCTAAAAACATCCCAAAATGGGCTGCTTCAAGAAGTTCTGAAGTGGATCATATGATCTCAGTTTTAGTTCAAGTTTTACCACTTTCAAGACACGAGACCTGGGAAAGTTAACTTAATTCACCTGAGTTTCCTCATTTCTAAAATGAACCTGATACCTATCCTACTTATATCACCCAGTTGTTATGTTCATATGAAAAGTAATTAACTAGAAAGTATATTAGTACAAAGTGTTACTAATTTTATTCTGATGCACTCTAAATTTCCAAATCCACATTTTTAAAATTTCTTTTTCATTGGAGGATAATTGCTTTACAATACGGTGTTTGCGTCTGCCATACAACTCGAATCAGCCATAAATATACATGTTCCCTCCCTCTTGAACCTCCCCCCACCCCCCAGCCCATCCCACCCCTCTAGGTTGTCACAGAGCACCGTGTTGAGCTCCCTGTGTTACCCACAACTGCCCATTAATTTACACTGACGAAGAAACAAATCAATCAACCAACAAATCAATCAATAAGATGTACTTGTTTTAAGACTGGTCAATAACATCTTTTCTTGGCAAGAGTGAAAGCAATGTCTAAAAGACTACTTACACATATTTTAAAGGACCATAATGAATTTGACAGAGGATATTTAAACTGTGACCTATATGATTATACACTTTAAGAACACCTATCAAGACTGATCTAAGTAATTTCCTTTAGTGCAATTTTTTTCAATACTGAAAAAAACACTAAGTAGAGATCTTGAGACATGTTAACAGTCGTCACCCACCTGCTTCCGTGCATCCACATCAGCAGCATCTTCAATGTAAGTATCATCTATTTCACGCTCTTCCAGTTCCTTCTCGGCATTTTCTGGTAGAACAATTTCAAAGTCATTCTTAGGAGCAGGAAGACCCAATAATCCTAAACGGAGGTGTTCACGAGATTCTCTTTCCTGTAGAAAAAAATTAGTCCTTCTCAATTTATACACATTAAAATACTCATCTAATATTGTATAAGAGTTTCTAAAATACAATTAGCCTAATTTTAATTCTAGAAAAATGATCCCTAACTTAAGGGTTGAGACAAGATTTTGTTTAATTTCTATCTCTACTTCTTCCCTACATTAAGACCAATCATAGAAACTTTAGGGGAAAAAAAAAAACTTTGATTTGTGGTCAATGAATTTACTCTGGGATAGTCTAATAGCAGGTTTGAGAATTATACCTCTGCAGGGCAAAAAAACAAGAAGTCCTTTAGGATTTCCTTTTAAGGATTTCTGAAATTTAATAGGAAATGAAAGAACAAGTTCAAAAGTAAATTTGTCCTTGGATAAATGAAACCTAATCTGAAAAAACGGCTGAATTTGTGTGTATGATTCTTTTTCATGCAAATAATAGGTCATATGCAAGCCAAAGAATACAGCTCATACTTCCTCAAAGTGCCTAGTACCCAAAGTCTTCCCCAGTCCATCCTCAGCTCACCTGTCTGTCTCATTCCCCACTGGTCCAACACATATGTGCAAGATAGGAAGACCAAGTGAGCTGCTATGTCCAGAACATGCTCCACACTTACTCATGTCGTGATCTCCACATGAGAGAGCCCCCCCACCTACTTCTGAGCATACCTCCTTCAAGGAAGGCTTTCTTAGTACCCACCCAACAAACGTGATTTCTTTCTTTCTTCGGCCACCCTAAGCACATTGGTTTTACTCAAAGGGCTTTATTTTGTTCTTATATTACAATTATTTTGGGATTTGGTTTAGTACTGCCAATATCTCCAGAGCATAAACTATTCTTTAAAACAAGGGACATCTTTACTCAACATTCAATCCCATGAAGTGTCCAGATCTGTGTTTTACACACATTAGATTCTTTACTTGTTTAATTCCTATATAGCCATTCAGAGGCAGCATTACATGATATCAATCTGGACATTTAAAAAAATTCTCAACTAACCAAATCTATACATCAAGTTAGAATTAATTTGTAAACTAGAAGCAAACCACCATTGGAACTCATTTTTAAAAATCTCACAATGACCTTCCATGGCATAAATAAGAAGGCTCAATAGTAATGTAATAAAAGCAATAACATGATCAAAAATAAAACTGTAACTTTTATAATTAGCTTTCTACATCACCTTGAAAAACATACAGAAGAAAAACTTCACTAAGGTCCACAATGAACATCAAATTAACTTGGCTCTGATACCTTGACCGTCCTTCTAAAAGTACAGAGGCAAACAGAGGAATCAAAGTTCAAAATCTAATTTATGAGGCCTTCAAAATTCATACCTTATTTTACAAAAACAGGAAAAAAAAAAATCAGTGTACATTCAGGAAGCTAAACTATTAATTAGTAAATGATAAAAATTAAAAATCACTAAAGACACAAGGAACATTAATATCAGCATAATCAATACTGAAAAATAAGAATATGAAAAAGTAGACTAATAAGACCAAAAGGTTTCCCTTTTCAAGTCCTACAAATCATGTTCCTTTTCTAGTGTCTGCAGGTGTAGAGAATCTGAAGGCATATGAAATATGCACTGACAAGGCGGAAAATTTTATTTTGGTACCTTTGAGATTTTAACTTTTTTTAAAGACTACCAAAAGAGCACTGACACATACCATCTGCTTCACATAAGAGGGATCACTGTAGTCTGCCATTCCATCCTCAGGATTAATGTTTAACTTGTCTCGAAGAGGAGTTCTACCCGGGGTGGCATTAATAACTGGTTTGGGAGTTGTCCCACTCCGGGGAGTCAGCCCTTCAGATCCATGAGAAGGAGTCCTAGAAAGACAGAAATTCTAGTTAATGAAAGTGCCAATTTTACTTGAATTGTGCTTCCAAATATTTTTCACATAAATTATTTTATAAGAAAAGAAAGATTCCTAAAATTCTGTCTCCCTATCTGGTTTTAAGTTAGACCTCTAGGTTAAAATAAAGGTTTGGTTCAGCTAACTCAGTATTTACACACAGTGTATTTATTTTAATGACTTCAAATAAAGTCATGATAGCTAGTAATTCTTTACCTTATTAACTAGGTCCATAAAACATTTTTCAACCTTTTCTTAACACATCAGGGTGGCTAAGAACACACAGTAGTCAGAGAGGTTGCCCACCATACTTAAGACCCCAAACGACTCTTACTGAATTCAGTATCTTCAACTTATTATTTGTCTTCTCCCTGCCTACAGCTGTTGGCCATCACATTCTCATCACAGGTATGCATACTTCAAGTTTGTTTGAAAACCAAACACCAGACTTAGGATCACATCTAAATATGAATTGTTCTGAGTTCAGTCTGAGAAACTCTCAGAAATAAAAGCCATAGACTTCATTCCATACAGTTTAAATGTCCAAAGCCTTGGACTTCTCTCGTATTCCAGTGGTTCAGAATCTGCCTGCCAAAGCAGGGGACACAGGTGCAATCCCTGGTCCACCCCTGGTCCAGGAGAATCCCACATGCCTTGGGGCAACTGAGCCCATGCACCACAAAAGAAGCTACCACAGTGAGAAGGCCATGCACCACAATTAGAGAGTAGCCCCAATTGCTGCAATGAGAGAAAGCCCTCGCATATCAGTGAAGACCCAATGCAGCCAAAAATAAATAATTTTTTTTTTATATGTTCAAAGACTTTTGTTTTTTTGATTACTTCCTGAATCCTGGCTGTGTTCCAGACAGGTGATGCTGCCAGAGAGCTGTTCCCAGAGGTGAGGTGAGGTGCTACCATATAAGACGTGATTCCTGCCCCCAAGGAGCTCACAATCTAGTTGAGAAACAAGACATACACGGGAGAAAGAGGGATTAGGCTCTCTTGCAAGCCTTGCAAAAGTGCTATGTCATATTAGGTTTTCGCTGCCAATGTTCCTGATCCTGCGTCATGCACAGCTACGTCAGAAATGCTTCACATACTTAAACAACCAGTAAGAGGACAAATTTTAAAATTAATAGTAAATCCCAAATATTTCTAACCTTAAAAGCTCAAATTCTATTTTAACACAAGTTTTCTCTATAGTATTTCTTCTTTAAAAACAGTAGCTTAAAACAAAAGAAGTTAAAAAAAAAAGAAGTATAAACAAATACTGAACTCTAGTCAATTATTTATATGACAAAGAAGTGTTTAGGGTGAAATGTACTGATACCCACAGCTTGCTTTGAAACGTATTTAAATATAAGACAGGCTGATGGCTGGATGGATACATGATAACACAAAAACAATAAAATATAAACCATTGAATCAAGTAGTGAGTATATGGATATTTGCTTTACCATTCTTACCATACTCTCTAAATGTTATACATTTTCATAATAAAATATTGGGGAACAAGCAACAGTAATACATGCATAAAAGGGATTACAATTTTTATAAAAGTCACCAAATCATCATTAATAATGGATATATCTACTTCTTAAGTCAGATTAAAAGTATTCACAAACAAGGTGACAGCACCAGAAACTCTGAAAAGAGAAGGAAGGTTCATGTATTTGACTAGTTTCTAAATACCATAATGTTAATCTGCTTCTATGAATGAGGGGAACTCTAAAAGCAAGATAAACACTAATTTCCATTTTCTGTCAACATTTCTAAAGCAAACACATTGTCCAAGTCCTCGGATTCAGGTTTTTCTAAAGCAGAAATCAGCCGTTTATTTACAATACCTGAATGGGGTAGAAAGGACTGTGTTTGGAGTCTGTACAACCTGCCGCTGTGGTGTCACACCTGAGAAGTCACTCTCATGCAAGGGGGTGTTGAGTCCGCCTTTTAATGGGGTGTCCACGTTGGTCAGAGCCATGAGGTTTTGGGCTTCCTGATTAACAAGATAGTAAACAAGCATGTTTTAACAGTTTAGACAGGACAGCAAACCCCTCTCTTATAGTCCTATTACACAAAAAGCTAGCAGAATTCTTACATATTTTCTCAACAAAAATGAGAGAAAATGAATATTGAACCATGGAAGAATTCAATACTTAACCATTCTTTCTGACATTAACATGTCAGAAGTTTTGAAATAAAGTTTTATATGTCAAGAAATGTATGTGTGATTGTGTCCTCACATACGAAATTACCATTACCCAAGAACTTTTCCTATTACTCGTGCCAAGCCTCTTTACATGAAGAACTAAGAATTCAACTTTCCCAACATGAGCCTGGGCTAAACATCAGAACACCCAGTCTGGCTTTATCACGAATTCTTTATCCAGTCTTCATCAGACTCTCTGAGTCTCAGTTTCTTCCATTGTGAGGTTAAAATATTCCCAACCGGTCTACTTCATAAGAAAACTCAAGAAGACAGATTACTTTCTGAAGTCTTGCTTGACCTCTTCAGGTAGGACTGACATGCTCTCTTTACAGTCCCTCTACTATAACCCTGCACTCATTACTAACACAGCACCCACAACTCCTAATCGCCAGTTCAGGGTCTGTGGCAGGCTACACTTTCCACAGAGTCACAACCATAATTCTCATCTCACGTGCTCTTCTTACGATCCAACTCTGATGCTCCAACTGCTGAACTGTACATTATAAAAGGATAAACTGCATCTTAAAAAATATATATATACACACACACACACACACACATATGTGCTTCTCTGGTGCCTCAGACAGTAAAGAAACTGCCTGCAATGCAGGAGATATGGGTTCTATCCCTGGGTTGAGAAGACTCCCTGGAGAAGGAAATGGCAACCCACTCCAGTATTCCTGCCTGGTAAATTCCATGGACAGAGGAGCCTGGTGGGCTATACAGTCCATGGGGTTGCAAAGAGTCAGACACAACTGAAGGGACTTAGCATGCATAACACAAGTCTAATTAAAAAAAAAGAGAGAATTCAGAAATTTAAAATATGACAGTAGAAATTTTAAAACTGTATGAAGGTAAAATTCAGAAAATCTCCTAGCAATGAATCAAAAAAGTCAATTAAGACAGGAAATCAGAGAGGAATAGCGAAATAAAGCAATGAAGGGGAGAAAATTTTTTTAATTTTCAAAATAACTTCCCAGAATTGAAGGTCACGCGTCTACAGAATGAAAAGACTCACCAAGTACCTAGTACAGTGGCTAAAAATAAAGCCACATCAAGAAATATGCATGTGAAAAAGAGGTCATATAAGCTTCCAGAGGAAGGAAAAAACCAGGTTTTCTATTAACCTTAACAGCACAAGTCAGAAGACCCTGGAACACTGCCTTCAAAGCTGTGAACAAAAAAAAAAACCCTTTCAATCTGGAATTCTATACCCAGCTGTACGATCAATCAAATAAGAGAGTAAAACAGTGATTTGCAGATATTCAAGACTTAAAAATTCCATGTCCCATGAAACCTTCCTCAGAAAGCTACCAACAGATATGCCTCACTAAAAGGGAGCCAACCAAGAAAGCGAGAGACATGGGAGCCAGGAAAGAGGAGACCCAAGGGAAAACTTTCCAGGGTGACAGTGAAGGAACAGCAAGAGAACAAGCCATAAACAACATCTAAGGAGGGATCAGTCCAGACAAGCACATTCAGAAATTCTGGGAAAGACTTCAAGTGCTGAAAAAGATAAGAATACCTAAAATTTGACCAGATTACAGGAGACTGACAGTTAATAAAGTCCAGATTCACAAATGAATTTGTGCCAAATAATCAAAAATCTTAGCAACTAAGTAAAACAAGTATTAATTCAAAGAAAAACAAAGTACTATGCAGTGGAATAATTATAAGGCACTTTGTAGGTCAGCAGTGAATGCAGTTTACACAGTCACAAGTGAGTGTGAAAGTTGCTCAGTCACATCTGACTCTTTGCAACCCCATGGACTGTATCCTGCCAGACTCCTCTGTCCATGGGGTTCTCCAGGCAAGAATCCTGGAGAGGGTTGCTATGCCCTCCTCCAGGGGATCTTCCTGGCCCAGGGATGGAATCTGAGTCTCCTGCATTCCAGGCAGATTCTTTATATGAGCCACCAGGGAAGCCCCACATAGTCATAAGGTAAACCATAAATACAGAGCTAACCAAAATTATGATTAACTACAATGGAAGATGGGAAAATGGAAAGAGTGTGGATGCACAGTAGAGGCAGAGGGCATGAGAGCGCCAAATGTTCAAATTCTAAGTGGAAAAAAAATGCTTTAAACTGAAAATAAAACCAACATGAAACAAGTGTCTTAGCATTACAGTGGTGAAAACAAAGAGCTGTCACTGATAACTCTAGAAAGCAGGCAGTGAGGGGCACTGTTTTCTTACAAAGCCTTATAGGACTGTTTGACTACTGAATCAAGACCTTAAGATTATAGTTGACTCTTAGAAAACTGAGATGTAAGGAGCGCTGAAAGACTCAATAGTATTGTTAGGCCTGTCTACTGCCTGGCATGCTGACACCCTAGGAACACAAGAGAGCTGTACACCCTATATGTTAAGGAGCGAGAGGGAAACAGTACTAAAGGCCGTCTATGCCATGCTAAGTATAGAATCACAAGGAAGTTTTAAAAATTACTGTAAAAAAATATTACTGACTACAGGGAACTCTCCTGGTGGCCCAGTGGTTAAGAATCCACCTTGCAATGCAGAGTACACAGATTTAATCCCTGGTTGGGGGAACTATGATCCCATGTGCCACAGAGCAAGCAAGCCCGCTCACCCCAATTACGGAGCCCGCGAGACTCAACTAGCGAATCAGTGTGCTGCAACGAAAGATCCTGTGTGCTGCAACTAGGACCAAGCACAGCCAAAAAAATAAAATTACTAACTACACACATCTGATCTTTTTTTCCCAGGACTGCTAGGCAATGTGTAATTTTTAAATGCTGTGCTTTACTGACAAGATTTAGCTTTCCTATCATGGAAATCTCTAGCAGCTATGCATTCAGGACTGTTTCAAACTGCTTACACTAAGAGACACAAAACCAAACCATTTAGTCTTCTCCTTTATACTACTTTTAAGGACAGGAAACAAAGTGAAAGGCTCATTCTACCATATGGCAGCCTACCTGCAGAATTCTGTCCTGGGAAGCTGGCGTCCGTGGTGTTCTCAGAGCAATGCTGTTGTTGGTGACATTGTACTCAGACAAGAGTGTGCTGGAAGCAGAGTTTGTTATGCCAGACTCCTCGGCAGTCTGACGCGCAATTTCACTCGCTTGGCCTACTTTTACAACTTCTTGGAGTTCTGCATCTGAAATCTGAAGATAACAGTTATCACAGTAGCAATATTTAACCAGAGAATAATACAGCTTAAAATGTCCACATTCTAGAAAGATGAACTGCTGAGTACACAGAGGTTCACTGTACTACTCTTTATGTAGGTTTGAAAGTGGGTTTGAAAATTTCCATAATATTAAGTTTTTTTAAGTGTTCCCTATATAAAGTAGGGGGGAAATTCCATACATGATACAGTATCAAATTGTATTCTTCTATTTCCATACGGAAATTCTCTCAAAACAATATATTAATCAAGACCATAAATTAATAGTGTTTGTACAAAACCATTTATCAATTAGGGGGGCATACTAAAAATGAATTAAAATATCACACAGAGTCCACTGAGCCACAAAAATCCCCAAGAAAATCAAAAGGTGTTATCTCTGTGGTTTTACCAAAATAAATATCCTAAGAACTAAAAAAAGTTACAGGCAAAATTCCAATTGAAGAAATATCACCACTACAAATGATAGCATCTGACAAAACTATTTCATGTTTATATCCAAGAATTTTATATTAATGCAGCCAGGGCATTCATTTGGCTAAAGAAGCTGTTCAAACCTCCTAAATCCATCCCTCTGCTCCATTAAACTGTCCAATTCTACAAAGCTGTACTCATCAGAATGCAAGAGAAGCTTATCCAAAATCCCCATGTTTCTGACCAACCACAATTCAGCCACAGGAACAGAGCCTACAATGAGCTGAATGGATTTTTTCTTCTCCACAACTCCCACATTGATTCTCACAGTTACTGTCTCAAAAACAGAAAAATGACACAACCAAACATCCCCTAAAAGACAGTCACCTGAAGTCCACAAGGCCAGATACCACCATCACCAGCTACAAAAAAACAGGCCTGAAGCCCCAGTCTACTGATAAATTGCTAAGAGCTGACAATTAATTACTAAACCAGCATATGAGGAGTTCAAGGCCTAATATTTCTTAGGGGTACCAAGCACCTAAAAGAAAAGCCTGGCACACAGACCTGCAAACATTTGCTGAGAAAATGTATAAACGCATGTGAATTTACACAATCAAAAACCTACTTTCATCAGATTACCTGAGGGGCAGGAAGTACTAGTTTGCTCCTCTTTTTAGTAAATTCAGAAACGCCACTAGTTTGAAGAATAGCTGACGGTAAATCAGATTCTTTTTTCCTTTTCAAATGCTGCTTGTCTTTTTTTCTGTCTCGTCCTTCTTTTTCACTGTCACAGATCAAGGTGGAGAACAAATTTTTCAAAGTTACTTATAGGCAATAACGTTAAAACCCATATAAATAGTCATATATTCTGAACAAAATAATCCCTTAAGAAAAGTACTAATAAATAGACAAAACTATATACATTAAGCTGTTTCCTTTTCCTATACATTACTTAAATAAACTATTATGTTCAAGAGGAATATAGAATAGCAATAGAATTATTAAGAAAATAAGATACACTAAGTAATTTAAGTATTAAATATTAAAACTATGTTATTATAAAGACTACAATGATAAGCAAAATGTTACATATAACGTGAAAGGAAAACCATAAAACTACTCCTATATCATGACTACATTCATACAAAAATATGTGTTTGTACATAGGAAAATAATAAAGTATACAAAAAGGGAAACAAACAAAGGGAACAAAATTAAAACATTGGTTTTAAATTCTCCTTTAAAACTAATCTTTGATTGTTTGACACCATTTTTTTTTAAAGGATAGTTAAGTTCTGACAAATGACATCAGAGAGTTGTTAGGGTAAAGTGCCAGACTCAAGGTCATTTTCTAAAGGACCAGGAATGCTCCCTTCCCCTCTGCATGTCACCCTTCTCCTCTATCTAGTGTACCCCATCCAAATGACTTTTTCTTCTTCTATCTTTTTATCTGCAGAGGCTACCTAAAACAAGGTGTTAATCTGAAAAACAAATACAACCGGAGTACATTCAAGAAAATGCTGATCCACCCTGGCTGACATCTGTTGTTTACTAACAATTCATGTCAACAGAAATATAGAAGGCCACTGAGGGAGTGGAAAACTTTGATAAGCATAGGAGGTTTTTTCCACAACATGCAGATATAAGATTTAAAGAAACTCTAAAAATCCCTATGAATAAGCAAAATCCTTTGCATCCTAAGACATCTGATAAAAATACATATTGACCCCATTAGATGAAAAGATTTAAGAATGAACTGGTAATGGTCATTTCTTCCTTTTAATTTCATTTTAAGAAAAACAAGATAAAATTTTCACTATGAAAAAAAAAAAAGCAGACCAGATTTTTGACATATTCCTTCAGGCCATTACTGAAATAACTAACCTGTTACCAAATGTTAAGTCTGTGACTCAGTGAGTAGACAGTTCACTGACATTTCAAGAAATGCAAACAGTATTCTGTGCTAAAAACATCACAGCCAGGGTCACTGGTTTTCTCAGAAAGGTGAATCCATTAAATAATAAAAGCATTATGTAAGTCACATTGTGCTGACTAAGGAAAATCTGGCTCTGACAAGGATAATATCTGGCTCTCCATAAAATTGCTACTATACTTTTCCATTTACAAAACCAGAAAGGAAAAAAAACCCAGAAAGGCAACTTACGATCTCAGCTCCCCATCAAGATCCTGTTGTCTTAACTTTCTGAAATCAGCATCAAGACTCTGGTAGTTTTCCTCAGAAGTATCATAAAAACCTAGAGCGGGCTTTTTCTCAAATGGAATTTCAGCATTATAATCAACTCCTCTTTTCTTTTTTCTTTTCTTCTGAATTTCTATGCCGGCTGCTCGAAGTTCTCTTCTCTTTTGGAGGGCAGCAAGACGCCTGAAGAAAAAGAACACAAGATCACACTGAAAATCATACACCATGGAGAAGGGATGGCCCATCCAACAGAGTTAAGAAAGCTGCCCAGTCATTTGGGGAAGAAATATTTACTTAAATCCTCACCTCACACCGTGCACCAAAATCAACTCCGGTTCTGATTTAAAGGTACACATATATACTAGAGCAAAGAGAAAAACCAGAAGGAACTATAAGTAAATATGTATCTAATCTCTGGATGGGAATATACTCAATATCAATGAAATGATGGGCAAAGAAAAAAATCAACAGCTTTGAATTTTAAATTTTATATCTCTGTAGCACCATTTTTAAAATTATAAAACAGTATCAAAAGGTAAATAGTAGGAAAAAAAATTGCAATTAGTATTAGGAATGGTTAGATATAAAGAATCCAGGCAAGTTTTTTTAAAATGCATCTCAAGGGAAAAAAGCAGAAGGAAAGACAGTTCACTAAGGAAACAATGCAAACAGCTAAAATGACAAATGCTCAAACTACCACACAATTGCACTCATCTCACACGCTAGTAAAGTAATGCTTAAAATTGTCCAAGCCAGGCTTCAGCAATACATGAACCATGAACTTCCAGATGTTCAAGCTGGTTTTGGAAAAGGCAGCAGAACCAGAGATCAAATAGCAAACATCCGCTGGATCATCAAAAAAGCAAGAGTTCCAGAAAAACATCTATTTCTGCTCTGTTGACTATGCCAAAGCCTTTGACTGTTTGGATCACAATAAACTGTGGAAAATTCTGAAAGAGATGGGAATACCAGACCACCTGACCTGCCTCTTGAGAAACCTGTATGCAGGTCAGGAAGCAGCAGTTAGAACTGGACATGGAACAACAGACTTGTTCCAAATAGGAAAAGGAGTCAAGACTGTATACTGTCACCCTGCTTCTTATTTAACTTATATGCAGAGTACATCATGAGAAACGCTGGGCTGGAAGCACAAGCTGGAATCAAGATTGGCAGATAACCTCAGATATGCAGATGACACCACCCTTATGGCAGAAAATGAAGACGAACTAAAGAGCCTCTTGATGAAAGTGAAAGAGAGTGAAAAAGTTGGCTTAAAGCTCAACATTCAGAAAACTAAGATCATGGCATCTGGTCCCATCACTTAACGGCAAAAAGATGGGGAAACAGTGGAAACGTGGCTGACTTTCTTTTTCTGGGCTCCAAAAATCACTGCAGATGGTGACTGCAGCCATGAAATTAAAAGACGCTTACTCCTTGGAAGGAGAGTTATGACCAACCTAGATAGCATATTAAAAAGCAGACACATTACTTTGCCAACAAAGGTCTGTCTAGTCAAGGCTATGGTTTTTCCAGTGGTCATGTATGGATGTGAGAGTTGGACTATAAAGAAAGCTGAGCACCGAAGAATTGATGCTTTTGAACTGTGGTGTTGGAGAAGACTCTTGAGAGTCCCTTGGACTGCAAGGAGATCCAACCAGTCCGTCCTAAAGGAGATCAGTCCTGGGTGTTCATTGGAAGGACTGATGTTGAAGCTGAAACTCCAATACTTTGGCCACCTGAGGAGAAGAGCTGACTCATTTGAAAAGACCCTGATGCTGAGAAAGATTGAGGGCAGGAGGAGAAGGGGATGACAGGGGATGAGATGGCTGGATGGCATCACCGACTCAATGGACATGGGTTTGGGTGGACTCCAGTAGTTGGTGATGGACAGGGAGGCCTGGTGTGCTGCAGTTCATGAGGTCACAAAGAGTCGGACACGACTGAGTGACTGAACTGAACTGAAAATGACAAAGTGTACTTTAAAAATTAAAGAATCACAAATTAAATCAAGTACCATCTCTGCATACCTAATAAATTGTTGTTGTTCAGTCACTAAGTCATGATGTACTCTTTGCCACCCCACAAACTGCAGAATATCAGGCTTTCCTATCCTTCACTATCTCCCGGAGTTTGCTCAAACTCATGTCCATTGAGTCAGTGATGCCACCCAACCATCTCATCCTCTGTTGTCTTCTCCTCCTGCCCTCAATTTTTCCTAGCATCAGTGTCTTTTCTGAAGAATCGGCTCTTTGCATCAGGTGGTCAAAGTACTGGAGGTTCAGCTGGGGCTTTTTCCTGGTGGCTCAGATCGTAGAGAATCTGCCTGCAATGCAGGAGACCAGATCCCAGTCGGGAAGATCCCCTGGAGGAGGGCACAGCAACCCATTCCAGTATTTTTGGCTGGAGAATTCTATGCACAGAGGAGCCTGGCCAGCTACAGTCCAGGGTCGAAAAGAGTTGGACACAACTAAGTGACTACCACTTTCCTATCTAATAAACAGCATTCAATTTTCACTTTGTTTTAATGGCAAAGGTGCAAAAAACTGACAGCCTCCTACACTGGTAATGAAAAGTACAGTGGTATAGCTTTCCGCCAAGAGAATTTAGAAATACACATTAAAACTCTAAGTTTAAAAAAAAAAAAAACTCTTTTAAGTTTTTTACATTCTTTAACCCAGCAATTTCACTCTTCAGCGTTCAGCCTAAGGAAATACAGACAGGAACAAGGCATTACCTACAAGACTGTTAATCAAGTACTGTTCAGAAAAGTGGAGAGACACAACCTAAACATCTAAGAATAAGAAATTAGTCAAGATAATTTATAACATAGCAATAAGATAGAATATTATACAGCCTCTAAATAATCTTTAAGAAATCTGTAAATCTACTCTGACATGAAAAGATGCTCAAGACACACTGCTGGTTAAAAAAAAAAAAGTTACAAACTTTACATGCTATGGAGCAACATGGAAGATATGAAGGCTGTCCACCCAAAGAGTAACAGTGATAATCACAGGAGGCTGGAATTTCACTTAATTTTTACTTTATCCTTTGCACTTTCTCAAGATGCTATAATGTTAATGATTTAATGATTGGAAAAGTTATTCACAATATTAAACAGGGGAAAAATCAAGTTATGAAACAATTTTTAGGAGAAATTTCACAGACTCATTCCCCAGCAAAACTGACATAAATTAGTAAAAAAAAAAAAAAAAAAAAAAGACTTAAAGTCTTTGGAAAGGATCCTAAAGGAGATACAGCAAATGAAGAAACATTTATTCAAGAAAATCTATAAAAATTTGATAAGAAAACTGAGAGCCTGTTGTATTCGAATCAAGACCCACTTCCTCTTCTCTTCCCGCCCTCCAGCTCCCAGCTCAGGGAGACAGAAACTCCACTCCACACTGGTACAGACATGAACATAGGGCGCTCTCCCCTCTCCAGCTCCTTGGCTTTCATTCCGAGAGGCAGGACCTCAGCATTTCTCATGCCACCTCCAGGGAAGCACTGCAGAGGCCAAGTCCAGGCACAGTCGCTGAGAAGGACAGGCTTCCTCCCGCCCAGAGGCTCTGCCTCGGGCACAGTGCTGCTGAGAACACTGGAGCCCCAGGAGTCCTCGCTGGGCCTGTGGCATGAGGGTTCCAAGAGAGGGGAGGCAAGCCAAGGAGCTCTGGGGCGGCTGCCCACCCCACCCCTGACACTGAGCACTCAGCTTCTAAAGTGGGGTATCATGCAGGAACAAGAACATCAGAGCCTATGGGACAGAATAGAGAATTCCAAGCTTTCCCCAAAGAAACTGACTTTCATTTGCAACAGGAAATGAAGAGGCTCAGGCCTCAGGTCACTCTCAAAAAAAGCAGATGTTGTGATGAAAAGGCAATTGATATCTGACAGATTCTTTGGAGATACAGCTAAACTGCAGGCCTACTACAATCTGCCAGAATCAATCCCTTTTGAAAAGTGGGAGAAGCCTTCCTGGGATGAGAACCAATATCAAACACTGACCTCAGAAACTATCCCTTCAAAGGAGCCAAAGTTTCTTTGGATCAGTTTGTGGAGCAATTTAGGCCTCAAGACATTGCTGAAAACAATACAGCAATAAGCTGGCAGTCAGTAGAGTCTAACAGCTGGGTGTACCCAGGGAAAAAGATGTCAAAGCAAGTCTGGTCAGAATCACCTCATCCCCAGGCGGCTATGGCCACACCCAAGACTGCCCCCATGAAGAACAACATTAAAGGCTTCACATTTCTGGGGGAGGAAAGGGAAGAACAGACTTCCCTAAAATAACCCTGCCTGCTAGTCACTAACAAGTAAACAAGCGGTCACAAGAGTGGATGGGGGTGGGGGGGCCCTTTGCTGGTTGTCCAATGGACAATTCACAAGGTGATCCAACTCACATGGTGGTCGAACTCACATGGTTAAAAGGCTCAAAAAATTTAGTCCCCAAACCACCATGGACAAAAATGGAAAATCAATTTTTTTTAACCTTACTCACATTACTCAACCCTGAACAGTAAGCAAAATAGAAAGGTGACTGAGACTGGGCAGAAAATTTAGTACCTCCTCTTAGTTTCTGTTTACTGTCCCAGGTCAATCACACTCCCATCATAAATAACTATTCTGGGCTAGTGGTTGGTCAGCTCTGCCAAAAAGCATCCGCCGGCAAGAAAGAATCCTTCATCCCAGGACCTGATATTTCACGGTCATTACCGAGGAAACCATCAGCACAATGCTAGTCATCAGGTCAGGAAATACTTCTCAGCTTAAGGACCAAAAAGGCAATTATGGAGGCTGGGGAGGTTACTTCAAAGCCTGAATTCCAAAATCTAATAAGCTTTCATAAAGTTCAGGTTTTCCCCTTTACCCACTTCATCTTGGCTTCTAGACCATTAGGAATGAAGTCAATAATGGATATGGATCTAACCAAAAAGAAGAGGAAAGTGGAGAAAACCTTGAGCAGAGAGCAGTATTTAATTTCACTCATTTTTTAAATAAAAATTTCTATGACAGCCTAAAACGTGGTTCAAGGCTCATTTACTCCCTCCAAGTTTAGACGGGCTTCCTATTTCACAGCCGGTGCCTTCCCAACACTAATCGAGAGTAACTAATGGCAGTCATACCAAAGGCACGGAGCCCAGTGTGTCCTCCAGCCATCTGACTGCAAGATGGCTACAACAAATGAAGCTCTCCTATACTAACAGAATACACCACACCAAGACATATACATACGTCTATACCTGGGCATTACTTCTGCCACGTCTTACAAAATTTTTTTTAAACATATATTTTGGGCCTCTTCCTCTCAGTCCGTATTGCACTCGAGTTGGAAGAGGCGAGTTCGGTCTCAAAATGGAGGTAAAACCCCAGCCCAGTCACCCCCAGCCCAACTCCGGCCGCCGCTGGGGGGGGGGGGGGCAGAGTCATGATCCCAAGGAACCAGAGCAGTTGAGAAAGCTGTTTATCGGTGGTCTGAGCTTTGAAACTACAGATGATAGCTTAAGAGAACATTTTGAGAAACGGGGCACACTTACAGATTGTGTGGTGATGAGAGACCCCAAACAAAACTTCCCAGGGGCTCTGGTTTTGTGACTCACTCTTGTGTTGAAGAAGTGGATGCAGCAATGTGTGCTCACCACACAAGGTTGATGGGCGTGTAGTGGAACCAAAGAGAGCTGTTTCTAAAGAGGCTTCTGTAAAGCCTGGTGCCCATCTAACAGTGAAGAAAATTTTTGTTGGTGGTATTAAAGAAGATACAGAAGAATATAATTTGAGGGACTACTTTGAAAAGTATGGCAAGATTGAAACCACAGAAGTTATAGAAGACAGGCAGAGTGGAAAAAAGAGAGGATTTGCTTTTGTAACTTTTGATGATCATGATACAGTTGATAAAAATTGTTGTTCAGAAATACCACACTATTAATGGGCATAATTGTGAAGTGAAAAAGGCCCTTTCTAAACAAGAGATGCAATCTGCTGGATCACAAAAAGGTCGTGGAGGTGGATCCGGCAACTTTATGGGTCGTGGAGGAAACTTTAGAGGTGGTGGAGGTAACTTTGGCCATGGTGGAAACTTTGGTGGAAGAGGAGGCTATGGTGGTGGAGGTGGTGCAGCCGAGGGAGTTATGGAGGAGGTGATGGTGGATACAATGGATTTGGAGGTGATGGTGGCAACTATGGCGGTGGTCCTGGTTATAGTAGTAGAGGAGGTTATGGTGGTGGTAGACCAGGATATGGAAACCAAGGTGGTGGATATGGTGGCGGTGGTGGAGGATATGATGGTTACAATGAAGGAGGAAATTTTGGAGGTAACTATGGTGGTGGTAGAAACTATAATGATTCTGGAAATTATAGTGGACAACAGCAATCAAATTATGGACCCATGAAAGGGGGTAGTTTTGGTGGAAGAAGCTCGGGCAGTCCCTATGGTGGTGGTTATGGATATGGTGGTGGAAGTGGTGGATATGGTAGCAGAAGGTTCTAAAAACTCAGAAGAAAAAGGCTACAGTTCTTAGCAGGAGAGAAAGCAAGGAGTTGTCAGGAAAGCTGCAGGTTACTTTGAGACAGTCGTCCCAAATGCGTTAGAGGAACTGTAAAAATCTGCCACAGAAGGAACGATGATCCATAGTCAGAAAAGTTACTGCAGCTTAAACAGGAAACCCTTCTTGTTCAGGACTGTCATAGCCATAGTTTGCAAAGAGTGCAGCTATTGATTAATGCAATGTACTGTCAATTAGATGTACATTCCTGAGGTCTTTTATCTGTTGTAGCTTTCTTTTTCTTTTTCTTTTCATTACATCAGGTATATTGCCCTGTAAATTGTGGTAGTGGTACCAGGAATAAAAAATTGAGGAATTTTTTCAATATTTTTTCAATATTTTTTCAATATTTGTGTAGTTCAGTTTTTCTACATTTTAGTACAGAAACTTTAACAAAATGCAGTTTTGAAGGTGTTTCCTTGTGAGTTAACAAGTAAAGAAGATCATTGTTAATTACTATTTTGTATGAATTTTGCTAAAGTTAACTGTAAAGAAACACCTGCTGACTTACAGTTTAAGGGAAATCTATTCTCCCCATTTCCAAACCATGAAATGAATGGCTCTGACATGTGGAGAGAACAGATATTTGTATGTTTGCAATGTGTGTTTTAGATAATAGAATTGGGCATTTAAATTAGCATATTTGTGAATTTAATAGCATTAAGATTTACCTTCAAATGAAAAATCTCAAAATTTCAAAAATAAAATAAAATAAAATAAAAAAACAAACATGTATTTTGGGGCTTCCCCGGTGGCTCACTAGTAAAGAATCTGCTTGCCAATGGAGGAGACACAGGTATGATCCCTGGTCCAGCAGGACGCCACATGCCACGGAGCAACTAAGCCCATGCACCACAAGTACTGAGCCTGTGCTTTAGAGTCCGGGAGCCGCAACTACTGAAGCCCACACGCCCTAGAGCCTGTGTTCCACAACAAGAGAAGCCACTGCAATGAGAAGCCTGTGCGCTGCAACTAGAGAAGCCCCCACTTACCACAACTAGAGAAAAGCCCTCGCAGCAATGAAGACCCAGAGCAGTCAAAATTAAAAATAACTGATTTTAAATGTATCTTTTCTATAACTACTCTGAAACGGTTAGAAAGATATACAAAAGACTTTCCAAAGCACAAAGAAGTTAAGCACTATTACCAAAACTGGAATGAGACAACTCTAATTGTCATTCACCAAACAGGGCTGATGGAGTTTTACCGGACCTAAGGATGCACAGACGAAGTGGTCAACTATGGATGGAAGCAACCATACCTTGCTTCTTCCAGCTGTTTCTCTCTTGCTTTCCTCTTGGCTTTCTTTCCCTGAGTATTAGCCAGGCGGGCTCTAGCTTCAGAAAGCATCTCCAATTCATCTGCAAAAATAGAGAGAAAATTAACTTCTTCTCCAACAGAAGCAAGGTGAGAGATGTACCCTAGTGCTTAAGATGAGAAAACCCATCAATATAATCATTATATGGTGCAGCATAAAGGAAACAGCTTGGGTTTTGAAGCCAGAGGTATAGAAGTTAAAAATCATGCCCATGACTCACTAGTTATCTGACTCTGAGATAACAACATCTCACCATTTACAAAATAGGAATAATAATTCCTACTTCACAGAGATGTTGAGAAGAACTAACCAAAATGAAGTAGGCAAAGCATCCAGCAAATATTCACTGAACGATGGCTCTAATTATTATGCCCTCTACTATCATCAACTATCTGGCACAGCACAAATTGTGAAATATTATAAAAGCTATTATTTAATTTTAAGGGGAAAAGCTATTATTTAATTTTAAGGGGACTGATAATCTTCAGTATCATTTTTCCTTGATTTTTCTCCCTCAGAACTATTTCTCTTCTCCAGTACATTTTCCATAGTTCCCCAGAGTAGAATACAGTTCATTACTGATAACTTGGAGTAATTCCTATACAAGGGTGTCCAATGAAATCACAAGCGAACTTTAAAAAATGAAAATCTCAGATTCCAGGATTACCCTACCCTCCATTCCCCTTCCCCAGTTTACTGAGTCAGATCTCCTGGGGAGGCCCTGGTACCTGTATTTTTTAATGTTCACCATTTGACAGTGACGCAGCCAGCCCAGCCCCAGTATGCCTTTGGGAACCACCACCTTCAAGTTTTTAAATTAAAAACTCAACAAATATTCACTGAACGCTCACAACAGCCCTGTGAAGACAGACAGACACTATTACTCTACATCTGACAGGAAACAGAATCAAAGTTCAGAGAGATTATATGACTCACCCAAAGTCAAAGAGCTTAATACTTGGCAGATATGGCACTAAGCTAAAGTCTAGTTCCTCTGATTCCTGATTCAATGTCTCAAAAAGGCATCATAAGTCTCCCTAATGGTACTACAGAGCTGCCTTTTCACGAAACTCAAACTACTTGTCTGAAGTCAAGAAAGGAGTTAATAGGAACACTGGACCCCAAATCCAGACTTCTCATTCCTCAGAAAAGGAAAGACAACAGAGTCCTAAAGAGCTTACCTCTAGCCACCAGAAAACGTCTAGGAATACCACACTGCTTAACTAAGTGAACTGAAACATTAAAAGATAAAGGGACAGTATCCAAAAAAAGCAATTACCCTACAACAGAAGGTTGGACACATTTGGAAAGAGACTTAGAGTAACAACTGCAGACAGAACCTCAGTTCTAAAAAACAGGAGAAGTTTGGAAAACAACTCAGAGGTAAAAGAAAGCCTGAGGAGTCTATGGTTACCAAAGAAATAAATTCCTCACAAAAGTACACTTACCCTCATCCATGTCAATCGGATCAGGCCGTGCTGGCTTTGTTTCTGGATTTGGATCTATTTCTCCAGGCTTAAGCTTTCGTGGATCATCTGTTGTTTCCTCTTCATTGTCTCTCTGAGCAGCTTTATCCCTAGAAATGAACCCAGAGTAATCAATCACACCACCACACCATTCAGTCTTAGAAATACCAGGTTCCCTAGTGCTAGCACTCTTTCTTTCAAAAATCCAATGGATGAGCATTAACAAAATAGAGCATTTCTTTATTGCTTCACCTACAAGAGATGGTTTTAAATTTCTAATTTCAGTGGTTTCACTCACCATGAAATAGCATCAAAGATGTTTCCTAAATCACAAATGCAGTAGAGCAATACAAAAAAGCTTTTAGTGGAACAACTAACATGTTCCAATGGTTAACTCTTAGCAGTGTAATTATGGGTGATTTTTATTTGCTTTTTTATTTTTTTCCCCTAATTTCTATAAACATGTATGATTTGTGTAATATATTTAAATTATTCTTTTAAAAAGTATATGACTGGAGACATAATCTTGATCAACCACATGAGATCTGGAATGTACTATCCAATAGCTTTAGTGCCTCTGGCTTTATTCAGATCTTCAACTAATGTTTAAAGATAGAAAATGCTAAAAGTTTATTCAGCCTCATTCAGAAGATATACACACATTTTAGTACCATTGCTGGAGGTTCACTTACAGAAGAAATTCATAGTGTTCCAAACACTGGGCGGCTGTTCTGCCAATGATTGGAGCGATGGTCCTCCACTGAGTCGGCATCAACTTGGCCAGGTGCAGGAGTTTTTCCTCTTCTTCTCTGGACCATTCTGTTTTCTTAATGCTTGGATCCAGCCACTCATACCTATTTAAAAGACATCATCTCGTACTTTAATCAGTCACCCAGCATGAATATTTACATTTTAGGCATGCTAACTTCTAGCATTTGAAAAATGCAAGCTAACTCTCATCCTTCAATCACAAAAGATGTTCTTTTTCACAACAGACTATTCCCTATTAAACTTATCCCATTCCAAATATTCTATTTCACTAAATTCTACTATATTTTAATTATGCAAGGTTAGTAATGCTTTAAAAAGGTAACCTGACTGAAACATGATAATATGCCTTCCTTCTCAACTATCAACTGCTGTCATTCACCTTATACTTTATTAGAGGTATCGAAATTACTTGCAAATAAAATAAAACTACCTCATATTTTCATAGTGCTTCCAGTTTTTATAGTACTTTCTCATGTTTTGATTTCTTACACCTTGGCTTATTTCTGAAGCATTTGACTTATACTTTTCAACACTGTATGTTTTTGTGTGGTGAGTTGAAGTAAAACCACTATTGTCATAGCTGTCTTTCCTAATGCCCCACCTGACCCAACTTTTCCATCCAGTCTTCTTAGCTGGAGAAGCCTGCAAACAATATATAAGCCTTACCAAACATGGGGGTAGGAACTTAGCTCCACCTAAGAGAAGCAGAAATCAGAACCACTTACACAGGCTGAGGACCATCTTCCTCATTGTGGGCCAATCTCTACGTTCTGATCCTTTCCCCTACTCAGGTGCCCAGGAAATTAGGTCCCTTATACAATCCAAAATATGATCCTAGTACCACATGGGTCATTGCTGGGGCCAGATCACTCATGCCAAAAACACATGTAAAGAACTTAATGTGTCCACTGACCTTTAACCACAGATATAATGTTGGGGTACATTATAGTCTGGGGAACCAAATATATAATGCTTCAACCATTAATGAGGAAACTCAACTACTGAAAGCTAGCCTAGAAAAATAACAAACATTTCTCATTTATGTCTTTGGGAAAGTAAGTTCTAAAACAACAAACTTACAAACTTTTGGAATACAATCCTTTTATAAGCTGGGGTCCATCTGTACCCAAAATTAGTTTTATTTCATGCTTCACAAAGCATTCTCAAACATTAACTCATTTGAGCCTCTCATCTCCATGAGTTAGGGCCAAGTGTCCTACCACTGGAGGACAATAATGGAAGGAGAGAGGGGACAGAAAATGGCTTGCCTAAGACAACAAAGGAAGCAAAAGACAGCTAATTCTTACACTGAAATTCCCAACTCCCTCTCCCTACTTTCTATTACATCACAATGCCTGCTTTTCTTTGGTAAGGTTCAAAGAAATGACATTTTCCTCATCATAATGAAGGTCATTTTGTGTTTTCCACTCATTAGCTGATACATACCATCTGGCTTTGCACTGCTTTGCTGACTTTCTATGCAGCAGTGAGGCAATCCTAGACCACTGGTTTTTCCCATATTTCATCACCGCTGCTTTCAGAATTTCATCCTAAAATTTTTCAAAGGAGAACAATGTATTCATTCACAAAACTCCAAGTGAGAAAAGACAAGATTTAAATTAACTCTAACTGGGTTGTGCTAGGGAGAAAGAGATATAAACACACACATATATCCTAAATTTAAAACCAAAGTATAAAACTTCATTACAATAATAAAAATTTTAAAAAACAGCAACCCAGAATCAACAAAATGAAAGAAATTAAGAACTCCCTTAGAAGGCCATCCTACCCTCCCTTACACACAACCCCTCCCCCAATCCCGTCCAAAAATTGGGAATGGATACAGCCCAATGTGAGAAATCCTACTTGACAGAGATTATATTTTAAAAAGGATTCTCCAATGTGTGGATGTTAGTCTCTTAAAAAGATTATGACTCACTCATTCACTGATTCACTCAAAAAACACTGCCCGAACACCAGCCTTGTATCAGGTCTTGTGTATCAACACTTGGGGAAATAGGATAAAACAGGACATACCCAGCCCTAAAATGTCAAGACTCAAGTGAATCCAATTTCCAATTCAGGCTTCCCAATTTATGAACAGCATTTTCTCTCCAGTTCCTCAGCCCCCACGCTGACCTAAGACTCTACACCTCAGGTCTAACCTAAGAATTAAGTATTTCTCCCCTAAGTCATCAGTCAACTCTGCCTCTAATTTCCCCCAGTCTCTAGATACTATTTCACCAGGGCACTCATTCCAATAAGGAATTTGCCAATCCCAAGGGAGCCGGTCAGGCTAAACCACAGACATCAGGGAATCAGAGCCATAGATGAATGCACTCAAGGCATTTTACTTTTAGGCTTTTTTCCCCACAATGAACGTGAGCTATATGCCTCATATGTGAGCCACTCCGCGCCATTCCACACCCCTAACATCTATCTGAGACTCAAGGACTTGCAGGGCTTTGGCCACAGCATCAGAATCCTGCTGTTACTTGATTTGGTACATCTGTCTCTCCCTCAGAAGTCGTCTCTTCTCCAACTGAAACAGCCTGGTCCCCTGTGTGCAAGCTGTGAGGCAAGGGTCTCACTGACTTAATTTCTAACTTTGTTGCAGTACTGCTCTACTTAATCACATCTTCAACTAAGTATATACTACAGTTATCTACCCTACTAGATCCATCAGCAAAATTTCCCAAGCAAACTTTGTTTGGCTCTGTCTCGGGTTCTAAAGATAAAGAGATTTGATCCTGCCCACTTGCAGTGCTGCCTACTGGGGAAAAGAAACAGAAGCTAGTATTTTATGAAAGATTACTATGTGCCAGGCCCTGTTCTAAATATTCCAAATGTAGTGAGTGACTCATTTAATTCTGAGAGATAAGTATTATTATCATCCCCATTAGAAAACTGAGTCTCTGAGAGGTTAACAATCCCAGCATCAAACAGGATGTGATGCTTGCAAAAAAAAAAAAAAAAAACCCACAAAAGCAAACCATAACAAATGGATGAAACAGGTGTCCAGGGACCACTGCGGGTGCAACTACTTTTTACCAGATGACCAGGCAAAAATTCCAGAAGAGTTTCTGAACTGTTTTTGAAGCAAGGTCAGAAAGATGCCAAGCAGGAGGAGGATACTCCAAGAAGGTGAAAGATGTAAAAAGACAGTGTGTGCTAGGGAAACTGACAAGTTCAGCGCACTATGAACAGAAACTGCACGAAAACCTTGTTTCTATTTTAGTCCCCTACTGTTCTTCACGATCCACTATATTTCTGGAAGCAAAGAGACTACGGTAGCCCTATCTGGCTACTATCCAAGGTGAAGCGGAAGAGACAGGCCTTGGGTGACGGGAGGCCGGACAAGTTACGCCGCGGGGACGCGGGTACAACCGGGTATTTAGGACCTGGCACTGAAACTGCTTCCCCTCTGCAAGGAAGGAAAGAACAAAGTTGTGGCCACAGCACCTCTTCATTTTTGAACAGCAAAGAGAGTCGCGGTGCCTAGGATGAGGAACCGGGGGAGCGGAACCGACTACCGCGATTGTCCTGTGTCCCCCTCCCACTGTGAGTTCACCACGGTGGAGGGCGCGTCAGTTCAACGAATGTTCACTGAGGGCCTAACGAGTGCCTAGCAGGTAAGCAAGCGGTTAAATCACGGTCCCTGTCCTGGAGATGGTCAGATAACTGAGGACCAGGCACAGGGTAAAAGCCCCGCACCGCCCCCCACGCAGACCCTGAAGGCATCCTCCCCGCCTCCCGGACCTCTGCGCGCGTGCGCACCCGCAGCCGGAGGGGCGGAGGGCAGCGGACGGCGGGAAAAGAGGACTTACCTCGGTATTCCTCCATACGCCCCCCTTGATCATAATTCGAGGCATCTTGGCGGCGGGGTGTCTCGGCAAGCGGCCGAGCGGAGCTTCCGAGAAGTAGTAACGGCGCGGCGGCAACGGGCCCCAAAGCCGCCACTTCCTCCAAGCGCGACCTTCTGCTTTGAAGAGCTCTGCGCAAGCGCGGGGGCGGGGTGAGGAAAGAGCAGGAGTAGCAAGTCTCGCGAGAACTGGAGTGACTGGAAGGAAATAAGTGCCTCGATGGTAAAGCTCTACTCTAGGAAGACTGACAGAAAACCATCAAACCACTCTAGCCAAAGTACTAGAAGCCGCGCGCATGCCCAAAATAGGTTGGAAGAAACCACGGCTTTCGCGAGATGTCGGCGTAGGCTCTTGGCTGGGAATGTAGTCCTGGGATTGGTCGTGACGTCACGTGGCAGAGAATAGGAACGTCTCGCCTGTAGAGTTTAAGCTCAGCTGGTCTAAAAATAGCGTTGATAATTTATTAATTTACCACTTTATTAAGCATTCAACGACCAGGAATTTATTCAAAGAATATTCATGGAAAGGCAATAGCTTATTTAAATGTAAATTTCGTAGCCTGCAAAATGGATATAATAATAGTGCCAACTTCATAGGGTTGTCCTAAGGATTAAATAAGGGTTTCCTTGGAGGCTCAGATGGTAAAAGAATCTGCCTGCAATGCGGAAGACCCGGGTTCTATCCCTGAATGGAAAAGATCTTCTGGAGAAGGAAATGACCACCCACTCCAGTATTCTTGCCTGGAGAATTCCATAGACAGAGGAGCCTGGAGGGGTATAGTCCAAGGGGTCGCAAAGTGGCACACGACTGAGCAGCTAACAAGGATTAAATGAGATCGTAAACCCATCGTAGTATCTGATACATAAGAAGTGCTCACAAAAATGGCAACTGTTACTGCGAGAAGAGCAAACCCAGGTAATCAGAGGTTGTCCCAGAAACGGTCATGTCAGAGTTTTCCATTTATTGCTCTTCAGTCTACATGGATTAATATTAATAGCAGAGAGCTACCGTTGATAGGCGCTGGTATTAGGCCAACTTGATCGGGGTTGAAATCTTGGCTCCTTCATCAGTAATAATCATACTGAATCTCAGTATCCTCGTTTGAAAAGTGGAGTTGACAGTTCATACCTCATAAATCTGACGGGCAAATTAGTTGAGACCAAAAACCCAGTGAGATAGGGATTGCTAAACTGCGATTCCACTTCTCCATTGAAAAACATCTCTTTGGAGCTAGTCCTGGAACGGATGTAAATAATCAGGAGACTGGGATACACCCTACATGTCTAACTAACTTCTTTCTCTTTATATTTATTCATTTTCCCCTTTGCCTCTTCTGAAAAAGCTACAGAACTTTCTGATTATACATATATTTTTGCCATGAAATGGAAACTTGTATTAATAAAATCAGTACTTGGTTAAGAGGACACAGTGTCAGATTATGAAGAACACAGACTGCCGTTTGTCGTGTAAGATGTCAGTCCACTCCTGTCTCTGCTGTCAGCTGGCTGTGTGACTGGTGGCAAACCATTTTCTATCTCTGGACCTCTGTTGGCAGTGCTCTTCTGTGGGATGCGTGACCATTACTTCCTGCCCACCCCAGCCTCAACATCCACTCAGTTGCAGTGGTCATCGTTTGTCTCTCTGTCACACACACATTGGCCAATTAGTCTGATCGAAGCTGAGCCAGTGAAGTCTCCTCCCCAGGAATTCCGACACTGAAACCTAGAAGAGGCGGGTCTCTCTGCTAGCTGGTGAATCTCTAACATGTGACACCCTGGAGTTGTCTGCCACCATGTTTTGTACAATGTAGACTAAGAAGAGAGGAAAGTGGGTCCCAGGTGCATTGAGAGAAGCAGAGAGGAGAGTATAGAACGACAGAGGTAGGTCTTGGCTGTGCCGCTGTTCCTGGATGCAACCTGTTCCTTAGTCCTTGGTGCATCCCTGTCCTTGAGTTCTAATGATTACTTCCCCTTTTGGCTTTAGCCAGATAAGAGTTGGGTTTCTGTTATTTATAAGGCAGATTCCTAGCTTATCCAGAGTTGAACCTATCCTCTCTCAAAAGCCATTTCAGATCTAACATCCCAAGAGCCTTCTCCTTCCCACTCAGGACCACCTTTATCCTCTATGTCAGCTTTTTACCGACTAGAAAAAGGTGCCCCTTCCTGCAGGCACTTTAATTGACACCTGGTGAAAAACTGTCAATGAACTACTGATGTTTGAAGAACAGGACACTTACTCTAAGAAAATTAGAGCACACATGTCTGCGACACAAACTGCACCCCCTTACAGACATGTGTTGTACAACATGCCCACCAGGACAGAGAAGCCCTATTAAAAGTTCCCCAACACACCCTTGAATGCATACATGTCCCAGTGAAATTCTAATATCCCTTTTTTTACCATCAAGAAACTGTGCAAGAAAGGGTGAAAACTAGGGTCAAAAGCCTGTGACAACCCCAAGGCATGGCAAGGGGCTAGGAGTAGTCACCCTCATCATCTTCATCTCCCCAAATAAGGATATGGAATTTAAGTAGAAATACTCTGATGCTTTGCAAATATAATTTCAAGACAGGTCCTCCAGCCCTGCCCTCCATCTACCAGATTGCCACCCATAAGCTCCTCCCTGGGCGTCCAGTTACTACAAAATGGAATTCCATGCATCCTAAATGCTAGTAATGCATACCATAATGTTAACCATGGTTAATCATCTAAATTGGCTTGAGTTTCACCTAGCCCAGTACTCCCTTGTGGTGTATCAGTTGTAGCTTGTAATTTTTTTTCTCACTCATCTTCATGATCGTTATTTCTGGGGTGCCCTGGTGCTTCAGATTTACATTTCTCGCAGGAGATTGATTTTTCCCACGCTTATACACCAGATCCCAAACTCACATGCCCAGTTACATCCAGAACAGTTCCACTTGCGTGTGTCACAGGTTTCTCAAATTTAACTTCCAAAAATTGAGCTCCTGTGAGAGCCCTGGTGGTCCAGTGGTTTGGACTCTGTGCTTTCACTGCCAAGCACCTGGGTTTACTCCAGGAACTAAGATCCCACAAGCTGCATGGTCAGTTCAATTCAGTTCAGTCGCTCAGTTGTGTCTGACTCTTTGCGACCCCATGAATCGCAGCACGCCAGGCCTCCCTGTCCATCACCAACTACTGGAGTTTACTCAAACTCATGTCCATCAAGTCGGTGATGCCATCCAGCCATCTCATCCTCTGTTGTCCCCTTCTCCTCCTGCCTCCAATCCCTCCCACCATCAGGGTCTTTTCCAATGAGTCAACTCTTCACATGAGGTGGCCAAAGTATTGGAGTTTCAGCTTCAACATCAGTCCTTCCAATGAACACCCAGGACTGATCTCCTTTAGCATGGACTGGTTGGATCTCCTTGCAGTCCAAGGGACTCTCAAGAGTCTTCTCCAACACCACAGTTCAAAAGCATCAATTCTTCGGCGCTCAGCTTTCCCTATAGTGCAACTCTCACATCCATACATGACCACTGGAAAAACCATAGCCTTGACTAGACAGACCTTTGTTGGCAAAGTAATGTCTCTGCTTTTTAATATGCTATCTGGTTGGTCATAACTCTCCTTCCAAGGAGTAAGTGTCTTTTAATTTCATGGCTGCAATCACCATCTGCAGTGATTTTGGAGCCAAAAAAATAAAGTCAGCCACTGTTTCCACTGTTTCCCCATCTATTTCCCATGAGGTGATGGAACCAGATGCCATGATCTTAGTTTTCTGAATGTTGACCTTTAAGCCAACTTTTTCACTCTCCTCTTGCACTTTCATCAAGCGGCTTTTTAGTTTCTCTTCAGCTGCATGGCAGAGCCAAAAAAAAAAAAAAATTGAGTTCCCTCTAGAAAACCTATACTTCTCCAGTATTCCTTATTTCAAGGGATAGCACAGGGCTGGCATGTATGGTTGGGTTAGTGGTTCATTGCATAAGGGACAAATAGAGGCTGAAATCTAGCTTGCATACTGCTCGTGAAGTAGCACATCCACGGAACCGTGTCCATCAAGAAAGCATCTTTCTCTAGGTGAGCAAAGACACTATATGGTCTGGACACCACATGTTGCCCTGGCAACAGCACCACCTGTTGCCACTTTCCTTTCTCTCATACTTTTCTCCCACTCATATCCAAGTCATCCCAGAGTCTTGCCATTTTCATCTCCAGTTCCTGTCCTATGTGCCACCTCTGTTCTGTGTTTCCAGATAGAGCAAATAAAAATACAGAGTTCCCAGTTAAATTTGAATTTCAAATAGACAGTCAGTGATTTTTAGCATAATTATGCCCCATGCCTTCCTTCTGTCCTCTCTTTCCAAAAGAACCCTAGCTTTTTTCTCCAGCCCACGCTCCGCTCAGCCAAGAGAACACATTTCTAGGCAGATGGTCACACCCATGCTCACACCATCACCACTAGAAGCTGGCCCCACACCCTCTCTGTATTTGCTGGACTCAGACACATTTCTTCAGAAAACAAGCCATTGGGATTTGGGGCTTCTTATTTGATATGAGGCTGGGTCTCTCCCTGTGCACCACAAAATGTTTAGTTTTCATGGATTTCTTACAAAGTCCATATTTGGGAGCCTCAAGTCAGTAGTGGCCACCCCACACCCCGGGGAGGCTCAGACCATAACCCCTGTGGAGTTCCCTGGGGTTGGAAGAACACAAGACATCTCAAGTGGGCTCCCAGTCTTTCCCCAGAGTCCACTCGAACGTGGCCAGTAGATGCGCTAAATCAGCATCAGAACTTCTAACTACAAGGGATGATAGGGCCGGGGGGTTCCTTTAGTGCATTTCAGGCCCAAATGGGAAGAATGGTCTCAGGACAAAAAGATGTGAGAGGGCCAAGGCAGGGGACCAAAGGGAGAAGGGATGAGTCAAGGGAGACAGTCAAGGGAGAGAGGAGTGAGTCTGGTCAAGGGAGAAGGAATGAGTCCAAAGACTCCATGGTTGGAATATTACTCAGCCATTAAAAAGAATTCATTTGAATCAGTTCTAATGAGATGGATGAAACTGGAGCCCATTATACAGAGTGAAGTAAGCCAGAAAGATAAAGACCATTACAGTATACTAACACATATATATGGAATTTAGAAAGATGGTAACGATAACCCTATATGCAAAACAGAAAAAGAGACTCAGATGTATAGAACAGACTTGTGGACTCTGTGGGAGAAGGCGAGGATGGGATGTTTCAAGAGAACAGCATCGAAATATGTATATTATCTAGGGTGAAACAGATCACCAGCCCAGGTTGGATGCATGAGACAAGTGCTCGGGCCTGGTGCACTGGGAAGACCCAGAGGGATCAGGTGGAGGGGGAGGTGGGAGGGGGGATGGGGAATACCTGTAAATCCATGGCTAATTCATTTCAATGTATGACAAAAAACACTGCAATGTTGTAAAGTAATTAGCCTCCAACTAATAAAAATAAATGGAAAAAAAACAAAAAAACAAAGACTCCATGGAGGCAGCGCCTTGCCCTTCGCAGGGGCTTTACCCAGGACTTGGGTGCCCTGCACTTGGAGGCTACTCCCAGATGTCACCCCTGCACAGTTAGCTGGTTCTTGTGAAACACCAGATTACCCTTGACCTTAAGAGAAGTACTAAGAAGTCAATTACCATTGACCATTCTGAAGTATAATAGGTATGTAGGAATAAAGAGTTATGATGCCTGTTACTCACTCTCAGATAACTGAGCAAAATAACAATAGTAATAATATGAGAAAAAGAGTGTATATGCCTTTGGACAAACATTAACTACTGTAGATTCTAAGTGAAGAATATGTAGATGTTTGTTGTACGATTCTCAAAACTTTTCTATCAGTAAAGTTTTCAAAATACAAGTGAGGGGAATTCCCTGGTGGTCCAGTGGTTAGAACTCCGAGCTTTCACTGCCGAGAGCCAGAGTTCAGTCCCTGGTCGGGGAACTAAGATCCCACAAATGGCGCGGTGCAGCCAAAAAATAATAACAATGTTTAAAAAGGCAAACCACAGTGATTTTGCATCCAAGTCAAACATTTGATTTAGAACAGTTGCACTAACAGAAGCAATCAACAGGAAAAGGCTCTCCAGGGGCCAGTCGGTGCCTGCTTCCTGGACCTGTTTCTGTTCAGGACTGTCTTGGAAAGTCCAAAGAACCTGTGGATAGAGGTACAGTTAAAGGCTGTGCTCCATCACAAGACCAACAGTTCTCAAAGATATACTTGACAGCAACCCACAGCCGCGACATCTGCCCAGGGGCCGCCTCGGGGCAAAGGATACCATCCACTCTGGGAGAGGCCCTGCCTCTCCCCTCTCCATTGTGAAGCCTCTCAGAAGCCTGCTCTTCCGGGCTTGCCTCCAGTTGTTATGCTATTTTTTGAAAGTCCTTTGACCCACCGGCAGGGAGCAAACTGTGCAGCAAGGAGATCGCCGGCTGCCAGTCATCAAGCTCTTTGACTTCTCTTATCTCGCTCTTCCGCATGTTGGCCTTGTGCTTCACCCAGAAAGGCAAGCTGTGGGAAGAAAACAACACCGTCTGAGCCCACCTGATGCAAATTTGCAAACACCTTCAGGAGACAAGGTACTCCATCCTCCAAAAGTAAGAACCCTTCAATTCTAGAGACCAGGTGTCAACGTCAAGCCCCATATTGGGACTTCCCTGGTGATCCAATGGTTAGGAATCTGTCTTCCAATACAAGGGACGAGGGCTAATCCAAGTCAGAGAACTAAGATCCCTTATGCCTTGCAACTAAGCCAGCGAGCCTCAACTACTGAGCCTGCATGCTCTGGAAGCCACCTGCCATAACTAGAGAGAAGCTTGAGCTCCGCAATAAAAGATTTTGCATGCCACAACTAAGACCTGATGCAGCCAAATAAATAAATATTTTTTAAAAACCCGTCATATTAGTTGTCGTCACTGTCCCTGCCCCAAACCCATGTCTCTTTTGTGTCCCTCTCTGCCCAGGAATCTGAGCCCTGTAGTCTGCACCACCTTGATTCCTCCCTGCCCCCACCTTTGAGTTGGGCTTGGCTAGTAGGAAGCACCCACAGGAGATCAGAAGGTGCAAAGACAGAGACTGAGATGTGTCTTACTGAGTTCCTTGACTCCCACCCTGTCTCCTGAGGTACCCCAGGTCTGGAGCGGCTGTATTCTCCACGGCCACAGCGCCTTTAGAGCAGCCCTTCTCCATTCTCTCACTGTTCTGTGAACCATGAGCCCTTCTCCTGCTGTTCAGACCTAGATGTTAGTAACAGTTTCCCTGGTGGGAGTCCCTGGGTGCTTCACCCTCCCACGTGAGTTCCCACAACCTGCCCACTCATTGGTAAACAGTCCTTTCATTAAACTGTCTTCAGAATCCCGGCAAAGTTTGCCTTCTGCTTTCCTCTGGGACCTCAGCTAATACAGATACCGGGTCTGTTGAGATTTGAAAGGGCATATGCTGAGCTGTGCTGTGTGTGATCCAAGAGCCCTTAGGAAGTCTGGCTCCTGGGATGAGTCAGAGCAGCAAGATGAAGAATGCTTTCATCTTTTGGCCGCTAGAATTTTCATGTTTGGGGGGAGAAATGCATTATGATTGAGAAAACACCCTGATAAACCTGCTGAAGGTAAGGAAGTCCCTGTAAGAAGACAGAGGAGGATTACCACATGTAGGAATAGAAGGGATATCATTTAAAGCTGACAACACAATAATATTGGGTTTGCCAAAAAGTTTGTTCAGGTTTTTCATAACATCTTGTATAAAAATCCAAACATACATTTTGGCCAACCCACTAGAAGCCCAGCTAAAAAAATCAGGGCAAAAAGCAATATAGGAAGATATCAGCATAAAGAACCAGTAGAACAAAAAACACAAGCATTCCTAAACATCCAAAGAAATAATTTTTTAACTTTTGTTGAAATAAAATGGTGAAAGACTCAGGGTAAATATAATATACATAACACATGTAACAAACTATTCTGACAGAATTTAAATCAAGTCTGTCAAATCAATAAATGCAAGTGACCCTAAATCACCTCTTAGAGAAACTACTTTTCTTTTTTTTTTTTTTCCCCGCCCTGATAAACTACTTTTCAAATTGACTCACAGAGAAAAATCCAGTTCTATTTCGGACAGAAAGACATAAAACACATTAATTTGAAAGTCTAAGAATGGGCAAAAGCATATTAGTCAAATGCAAACAAAACAAAGTAAGAGTTGTAATTTTAATATCTGGCTAGGTATAACACAGGACAAAATGCATTAAATGAAAAAAAAGAAAGATATTTTTGCAATGCTAAAGGCTACTAGTAATAAAGACAGAAACACACTAATATTTGGACATTTTAACACACCAACTCTTAGTCCAAGGAGACCAAATGAGCGGTCAAGTGGACAAAAATGGGTAAGAAAACACAGGGACTAAACAATAAACAATAAGATAAATTTTCTGGGTGTGTATCTAAATTTGCATTCTGACAAAATACAATGTACTTTCTTTTTAAAAAATATATATTTACTTATTTATTTATTTGGCTGAATTGAGTCTTAGTTGCAGCTCATGGGCTTAGCTGCTCCACATTACATGGGATCTTACCAGTTCCCCAACCAGACATCAAACCCACATCTCCTACATTGCAAGGTGGATTCTTAACCAGTGGACCACCAGGAAAGTCCCTAGAATGCAGTTTCAAATGCACATGGAAAGAGTCCCAAAACTGAACATATATTAGCTCACAAGAAAACTGTGATAAGTTCCATAAAATAAAAATAATAAAAACAATATATTTTCTGATCACAAGGTAATACAAGTAAGAATGAATTACAAAATAAAAGCCAAAAAGCTCTCCTACCTAGAAAATCTCCCTATTAAGGAATTCTTTAGTCAAAAGGGAACTGTCAGTGGGAATGACAGAATTCTTCAAAAAATAAAGATAACCTACATATCAAAATATTTTGGTTCAGAATGGAGCAGAGCTAAACTATTAGATCAGAAGAATGAGAACTTCCCTGGTGGTCCAGTGGCTGGGACCCCACATTCCCAATGCAGGGGGACCCAGGTTCAATCCCTGGTCAGGGAACTAGATTTCACAGGCTGAAACTAAGAGTTTGCATGTAGCAACTAAAGATCCCACGTGCTGTAACTAAAAGATTCAGCACAGCCAAATAAATAAAAACAAATATTTTTTTAAAAAGAAAAGAAAAGATCAGAGGAATGATACTTTCCTCAAATACAGAAATACTAGCTTACTCTATGCCTCATCAAACTCTTAGCCATCCTCCCTGGCTGCACTTATTTAAGTATATGCCTTTTCTTTCCCAACAAACTCTTGTGTTTTGGAAAGCAGGGACCCTGACTGTTTCTCCACATAAAACCCCTCATGGTGCACACCTAGAATAACACGTGGCATCTGGCAGTCTGTCAATCATATCTATTGAAGATGTAAGCAGCCGAGTGGCTAGACTCCATAGACACTTGACCTTCAAAACCAGAACCAAAAAAAAAAAAAAAAAAACAGAAACCCTCCATTCAAACCTCCCCACCCAACTACCAGGATTCAAAAGGTCCCTATGCTTCAGGTATCTATGAGCTCCTCCATAGGAGAAAATAAATAATTGATGTGTTCATAGAGATGGGACAATATGGAATATGTTAAGATAACTCACTTGGGGATTTGTGGAAGAGGCTCAAGTGGAATAAAAGTATCAAATTTCTTTTCATAAGGCACTCTGAAAATCAGAAAAGACAACCATCAGATTGGTATGGCTTCTATCTCAAAGATATCAATACTTCATTGTGTTCAATACAGTGACTTATTTTATTGCTTTAATTGCCATGTATAGGCTTCAAAACCATTAAGGGCCATAATTCTTAGTATTTATCATTTTTTGTAAACATCATTAAAACCAACATGATTAATTTTTATTGAGGTATATGGTTGATTTACAATATGTTTAAGTGGATACATAAGTGATATATGATTATTAAAGGTTATACTCCATTTGTAGTTATTATAAAATATTGGTTATAGTCCCTGTAGTTTATATTCTTGTAGCTTATTTATTTTAAACATAGTAGTTTGTACCTCTCAGTCCCCACCTCTATCTTGCCCCTCCCCAATCCCGTCTCCCCACTAGTCACCATTAGTTTCTTCTCTATATCTGTGAGTCTGTTTCTGTTTTGTTATATCTACTTTTTAGTTTGTTTTACTTTTTAGATTCCATATATAAGCGATATCATATAGTATTTGTCTTTCTCTATTTGACTTATTTCACTAAGCATAATACCTCCAAGTTTATCCATGTTGTTGCAAATGACAAAATTTCACTTTTTATGGTGGAGTATTACTCCATTGTGTGTGTGTGTGTATATATATATATATATATATATATATATATATATATAAACATCTTGTTTATTCATCTGCTGAGGTTGTTTTCATATCTTGGCTATTGTAAGTAACTGCTGCTATAAACATTGGGGTGCATGTATGTTTTCAAATTAGTGGTTTTGTTTTCTTTGGGACATGATTAATTTTCTAAAATATTTTTAATGTACTACACCAACTATTTTTCTTTTAATTAATGACCCTCCCTTTCTTGTCAATGCTTAGTTCCAAGTGTAAATCAGCCCTACTAACCAACAATGTGATTCAGAATGAAAATTGAAGCCTTCATATGTGTGGTAACAATAATAGGAACAAAATTGGCAAGCACCTTTTTGTAATCAAGATCCTGTGTATGATCTCAGTTACACACATGCATATATATACATACACTAAGGAAACAGACGTGGACTTTTTTTAGAAATTTTCACCAACTATGTCTTGTTGAGATTCGCCCCTTGCAAAATATAACTTATATGTAGCAGAGAGAAATACAATTCCTTTAAAGTTCACTAAATAATGCTAGTATTAACATACACTTACATTGAAAAATTCACTGGCGGGAGAGTTGATCCTGCTTTGTGGAAGCCTTTACTCTGTTCTGGATACATATATGGATTATCTCCTGGAGTTAACTTTGGGATTCCATTCCTGGGGTCAAGAACTGTGAATGGTGTTTAAAAACAAAATCATAAAAAGAGCTGAAAATGGTCCACAGATTTGCTGTAAGTATTGATATGATAATGGAAATAGGATAATTTAGTGTTTTATCATTAGGTACATATAGGTGTCTTAAATGCTCTGTTTATGATTGTTTCACCTTGAGGAGATGAAAAGTGTGAGCCTGAAATAAAGTAAAAGTAAAAAATAAATTTAAAAAACAGATTAAAAAACTTTTTTAAAGTGTGAGCCTATGTATAAGACATTTTTTTTAAAGGTGTTATGATTACTTTACCCTGGGAAAGAACAATAACTTAGGTTTGGATGGAATGGTTTGGTTTAAAATGACTGATGAATCAAAAGTTATCTGCAATGATGAGCATAAACTGACTTGAAATCTTTTCATTCCTAAGCATTAGTGTATTTTGAATCCCTGAATTCCTCAGGGATTAGAGGCGATTTTAACTGGGGCTCTGCCTCTCTGATTGAATCTCAACTAAAAAGGGTCCTGGCTCCTCCTTCTGACTCAAAGACTAGGACAGGGGTTTCCCTGGTGGCACAGTAGATAAAATCTGCCTACCAATGCAGGGGACATGGGTTCGATCTGTGGTCCAGGAAGATTCCACATGCTGTGGAGCAACTAAGCCCGTGTGCCCTAACTATTGAGCCTGTGCTCTAGAGCCTGGGGGCCGCAACTGCTGAGCCCATGTGCCACAACTACTGAAGCCCTAGAGCCCGTGCTCCTCATGAGAAGCCACCAGAATGAGAAGCCTGTGCACTGCAACTAGAGAGTGGCCCCTTCTCACTGCAACTCATGCAGCAACAAAGACCCAGCACAAGCAAAAATAAAATAATTAATTAGAAAAAAGAAAGACAGAGGTGGTGCAGCAGTGGGAGGTGGCCTTCCTGGTGAAGAGGAGTCAGGAAAAAGTCTACTGATGCTGAGTAAACACTGCTTACTCAGCCCATGCTCTGACACCTGACCCAGCCCCTTCCAATGCCCCAGGAACAAGAAACTAACCACATGAGTTCATAGGGAGTCAGGCTGGTACAGGATGGTCATTTAAACATGCACCTCCAACACCAGATACATCTCCTAAGAAAATAATCCTGGCCTGCAAGACTGCCTTGCGAAATCCTACACTCAACAAACAGGACTCCTTTTAAATTTTTTATTTATTTTGAAAGTTTTTTTATATACTTGTATTTATTTAGCTGGGCCAGGTCTTGGCCATGGCACTTGGGAATCCTCAATCTTTTTTGCAGCATGTGGGATCTAGTTTCCTGACCAGGGAATGAACCAGAGCCCCTGCTTTGGGAACACGGAGTCTTCGCAACTGGACCATCAGGGAGGTCCCTCATTTACTTTGTTTTTTGGCTGGGCTGGGTCTTGGTTGCTGCGCGGGCTTTTCTCTAGTTGCAGTGCCCGGGCTTCTGTTGTTTCAGCTCCTGGGCTCTAGAGCTCAGTAGCTGTGGCACACGGGCTTAGTTGCTTAGTTGCTCTGCAGCTTGTGGGATCTTCCCAGGCCAGGGATGGAACCCATGTCTCCTGCATTAATAGGCGGATTCTTTACCACTGAGCCACCAAGGAAGCCCTTGTCGTCTACTTTTAATATATACTTGCAGTTGTCCCTGTTCTGGCCAGTGAGACAAAGAAGTCTCCCAAGGACCATCTGGGAAAACTTTCCTTCCTTCTAAAAGGGGAAGGCAACAGCAGATTTTCCTTTTTTATGTCTTTAATACAAATATGATGCTTAGAACTACAACAATTATCTTGTAACTATAAGGGGACAAGCATCAAGACAAAAAAATTCAACATTACAAAGAATGGTGATACATCAAAAAATACAAAATGAGCCTGTAACTTTGATGACATCATTGGACAACCAGACCATATAGGTCACCTAAATACCAAAGCTTCTTGTTAATTACTTTAAAGATATCTTACAATTTAAGTCTCTGATAATTTGATTTTTCTCTTACTTGTGGCCGAAAGCATGCCTAAGTAATAGACAGCTAAACTTAGTCCCTTCTTGGTTTTTCTCAGTTGTTCCATATTTAAACCAGTTAAATGAATCCTTGCTGTTCCTCCCTAGGATTGCATCTCAGGAGTGAGAAGTTGGAATGTGCACAGCAGGCTTACATGACATCAGGATCTATGAGAAGGCTCTGGGTCCTGGGTCACCATCTGCAAACCACACGGGTACCTGCTGCTCTCTGAGAGCTGGCATCTATTTCTGTTGTCTACTAAAATGGGCATCTAGTCTGAGCCTCTGAAGCCATCCCTGTCTGCCATGCATCAGGTGAAACACGCATTTATTCCCATATGACCCCTGGCTTGGTGGTCGACAGTGCACCCTACGGCGGCCTCCAGGCATTCCAGCTGTTCAAACAGCTCTCCTGGCTTGCTCGCTTGCTCTCTCTCTCTCTTTCTCTCTGTCCTAAGCTCCACAGTCTTTACAGGGCACAGAAATGCTGCTATTCATCCACATCTCCTGGATGGATGAGACCCTCAGGGGGCTTTCTCCCCAAACATTGCCCAGATCATCATTGTCTGCCCACAGTCAGGAGAGATGCCACTTCACCTGGAAGCTCAAGGTCTTCCCCCAGCCACCCTGTGAGGCAGAAGCCCCAGCTGGACTCACGTCCCCTCAGCCACTAGATTTTGATCTCAGGAGTTGGGTAGGACACAGAACTCCTCAAAGTCCCCGTATCAATGACTACTTTCTCACCTCCTCTAGTCTGGCTTTTGGGGTATTCTTTATCCACGCAAGGGCTTCCCTGGGAGCTCAGTGGTAAAGAATCCACCTGCCAATGCAGGAGACATGGGTTCAATCCCTGGGTCAAGAAGATGCCCTGGAGGAGGAAATGGCAACCCACTCCAGTATTCTTGCCTAAAAAATCCCATGGACAGAGGAGCCTGGAGAGCTACAGTCCAAAGGGTTGGACAAGAGTTTGACATGACTTAGCAACTAAAGAACAGCTACCCAAGGAAAAGCCTTGGTTTTCAAAACTACTTGTCTCCGCTGTGAGTTTAAAAGTCTATTTTAAAACTAAAAAAAAAAAAAAACGAGAAGTTTCCATTTCTTTCTCTTTGTATACTGGAGTGGGTATCCTTTCCCTTCTCCAGGGGCTCTTCCCAACCCAGGGATCAAACCCAGGTGTCCCACACTGCAGGTGGATTCTTTACCAGCTGAGCCACCAGGGCAAGCCAACAATACTGGAGGGTAGCATATACCTTCTCCAGCGGATCTTCCCAGGAATTGAACTGGGGTCTCCTGCATTGCACGCAGATTGTTTACCAACTGAGCTACCAGGGAAGTCCTATTTTCCTACTACAGCAATCTTATTCTTCCCTGAAGCACTTGCTGACTCCTATACAGGTATTTCTTAGAAGCGTTGCCATAAATGGTCCCTTGGTATTCAGAAACTCGTTAGGGTCTTTCAATAAACTTATGATGGCTAAGTTGAACAGAGAACTCACCAAATCACCAGCTGAGGAGATATATATATATATATACACTTCCTCATCACATCTACCTTTCATTAAGTCAGCTACAAAACAACAACACACACTGAAGCTAAGGTTTACAGGATGTTTTCCTTGTAAAGAATCAAAAATACAATTTAAATGCATATGACAAGCAGCATCTAATTGAAACATGAATTCTTTTCCTCGGACTTCAATGGAGGTTTCTATTAATAAGTATCCGAGACAACTTATCTGATGACTTAAATATCACATTAGCATTTTATGAAACTCAGAGAAAAACAAAAATGTGGATCAGCATATGGTGTGAATTCTTTGCCAAAAAGTGCAGCCTGCCAACCATCCCCTTGTCTTTCCTATTTTCCTGGCTGCACCTGGATGACACAGTGACCCCCTAGGTCTGCCCCAGCCACACAATGCTGGGCTGCCGGAACGACAACTCACGAGTATTCTGGGACATTGCACAATGAAGATTCAGGAGGAAAACATTACCATATTTCTTTCTCCCAAGGCTCTTGTCCACTATCCTCTCTGACAGAGACCTCCTATTGCCGAGGAAGACCCCGTTAAAGAAACACTGCTTTCCAACATGGTAGGTGTGGATGTTGCTGCTAAACCTTGGATAAAATGTCCACTCAGGACGCTGCCCATCTTCTGCAAGACATCAGAAATGCTTCCATAAGCACTGCTCCCAGCCTCACAGTGTAGCTGGATAACAAAATAGTGTGAAGCCCCACCCCCACCCCCGGCTCTATCTGGCTATGCGACCTGTATCAGTGTGTGTAGTTCCGTAATTCTACATCAGGGCAGTGTTAATCTCTATGGGACTAGGCACAAAAGAAGGGAAGTAGAGAGAAAGCTATCTAAGAGGGTTCTTCTTTGTTTCCTTTTTACCCTCCCTTTCAAAAATAAAGCCAGTTTTATGGTTGGAAGTGATGTATGGGTTAGGAAGCTCAGAGACAGTTTTACAAGCATCTGTGAGCCAATCTTCACTCTAATAAATGTGTAGGAATAGAAAGCGCATCAGGGGAAGGGCTGGAACACCCATGGCATCTTAACCAGATGGCATATGGTGTTGGCAGCAACAGTGGCACATGCACAGGCTACAGAAACCCTGAGAGATGCAATGTGATTAGGACCAAGGAGAAAGGCTGCTCTGAGACCTCAGGCTAGTTACTGGACTTCTCAGCGCCTCTGTTTCTTCGTGAGACCCTTTTCCTATAAAACTGCTCAAGTGATTTTAAATGGTAAAAGATCTCCTACAGCTTACAGCTCTAGGGTTGCTTAAGAAACTCTTGTCTCCTTGGTGGCCGTGAAGGACCAGAGGCTTTGGAGGCAGGCATGTTTGAGTTCTAATCCCATCACTTCACTTCCTAACTATGTGTGCTTGTGTGGGTGACTGAATCTCTCCAGCTTCAGTTTCCTTCTGTGTAAAACAAGTAGGTCTGTATTAGCCACACAGGTCTATATGTATTGACACAGAAAGGATCCATGATCTATTTATACTTTGAGTGAAAACAATACTTTGAAAATAATTTGTGTATTATTTTCTATCAGTGAAAATATTGTGGTATATTACAATCCATAAATATATATATTAAACATATATATGTTTATACGTATACAAATATATTTCAAATACATATACATTTACATTTCAAAATTCTCGAAGAATAGATATCAAACTCTTCACAACTATGGAGCAGAATAGGGGGATGATTAGAAAATATTGGGGAAGGGGTTTTCATACTCTACATGTTTCTTTATTATTTTAATATTTTATTATAGTACTTTTATGTTTATAAGGCATTATTTTTGCAAAACATATAACAGTAGCTGCCCCGCAGAGTTGTGAGAATTAGAGATGAAGTATGTTGAGTGCCAGGCACCTAGTGGGTCTTCCGTGAATGGCACCCAACAGTATGGCAGCCTTCTGCAAAGACTCCATGGGCATGGAGGCACATGGAAGAGGACCTATGATCTACTCACTTGTCTGCAACTTGAGCAGGCTGAATTCCTGGGGATATTTATCCTTTTGGACTTCAGGCAATGAAGTTTCAGAGGAGCGATCAGAATGTGAGGAGGAGGATTTCAGATTCAACTCTGCAGAAGGGCTGGAAAGGAAGCAGAAGGATGAAAATGTCAATGTGCTTAAATTGGAAGTTACAACCCGATCTTACATCTTTTACACTAGAATTGCCCTCATGTATGAAAACTAGGACTTCTCTTCACTAAAAGTCCATGAGCATATAATTTATTTATTCACATGAGGGGATTGAAATATATTCCAAAGATGCATGCTTAAAGGCAGTTTGGTGTCCAAAAGTTAAATATAGAATTATCATATAACCCAGCAATTCCACTCCTGGCATACACCTAAACATTAGGCTGAATAAAAGAAGCCAGACACAAAGACCATAACTTGGTGATTCCATTTATATGAAATATCCAGAACAGGTAAATCCACAGAGATAAAATTAATGGTTATCCAGGGCTGGAGGGATAGGGGACATAAGGGTGACAGGTTTCTTTAAGGAGGCAATAAAAATGCCCTAAAATTGATTGTGATAATGGTTGTATTATTAAACTGGTGAATTACATAGTATATGAATTATGCTTCAACTAAAACTGCTACCAAAAAAATGCATGTTCAATAAAATCATTAAATGGAAATAAAAAATCAATCAGTATAAAGAAAAGAGAAAGAAATAATCAAAAACAAGCCTCGACTGAAATGGCTATAATAACAGAGCACTATGTTTAGTATGGAACTTCCTGGCAGTTAAAAATGCCTGCAACGAGCTAGTGTGGGCGTCAACAGAAAAAGCCATCACTTCTGGTCTTAGTGGCCTAGCATTTGATAGATGGCCTTGGGCAATGCTTTCAGGTAAGGTTATCTGTTATCAAGCCATAGAATCTTTTTTCATAATATTATGTCACCCTGATATTGGAATCATTTCAAACCAACTTCATGTTGATCATTTTGTTTGCTGCTGACAAAAAAATCCTGTTACTATAGGTGGGGCCAGTAGAATCATTTCCATTTGCAAAGGAAATGAGCCCTCAAAGAAACTCACAAAGCACATCCTAGAGAGGGGCCGAGCTGGATCTGCAGGTTAACTCTGGACTATGTTGCCTAAAAATCATAAAGAACCCTGGGTCCATAACTCACAGTCTTGCATAGCCCAACTTCAGTTTTAAGTAAACAGTCCCATACTAATGTCTTTGAACTTCCATAGTGTGCAGATAAAGCAAAAAAGCCAACAACTCAGAGTCCATCCTCCCAGTTCCAAATGTAGGATAACTTTGACACTGGGTGATATATGGCTCTCCTAAATACTTTTTATATATTTGTGTTTGCTGAATTAACTACGTAGAAAACATTGCCAAGATAAAGGAAACATTCCAAAAGAACTTTAGGACTATCCACCTACTTGTTTCACTCAACAAACATGTATCTGAGTACATTTTGGGGCAAGCATTGCTCTAGACACTGGGGATCCAAACAGTCCCTGCTCTCAGGAGCTTAGGGTCAAGGGGAAGAGGTCATGGACAGATAAACAGGTGACTGTGAAAGAGTGGGTAAATGCAGAGTTGGAAAAAACAGGTTTTGCAAAAAAGTAGTATAATAGGATCTTAATTGTGAAAAATAATTACATATTTCCATGCATAAGAAACAGATTTTTCTTTCATGCATATAAAAAAAAAAACGTTAACATCAATTCTCTAAGAGGTGATATTACCGTGGTGGTTGTTTTTTATACTGTTTTTTATATTTTCAAAATCCTATAATGAACTTAAATAACTTCATTTTTAATTTAATTATGTATTTATGGCTGTGCTGGGTATTCGCTGCTACACAGGCTTTTCTCCAGCTGTGGCTTCTTCACCGAGGTGACTTCTCTTGTTGCGCAGCACAGGCTCCAGGGCTCAGGACTTGCAGTTCCCAAGCTCTAGAGCACGTGGACTCAGCAGTTGTAGTGCAAGGGTTTAGTCGCTCCCTGGTATGTAGGTTCTTCCTGGACCAGGGATTGAACCCATGTCCCTTGCATTAACAGGAGGATTCTTCACCACTGAGCCACCTTGGAAACCACTAAATTACCTTCATTACAACAAAAACTGTTAGAAAAAGCTTTTTAAGACTTTGTATCATAGGAAAATCAAACAGAGCAAAGTATATAAAACAGCACAGTTTTACAAATACTTATAAAGCCAACATCCAAGACAAGAAATAACGCATGGCCAGCCCTTTCCTCCCACTCCCCAGAAACCATCTGTGTCCCTTTCCCAGAGAGATAACCACAATTCCTGACTCTTGACTGTGATGGTAACCATTTCTTTGCTGTTCTTTAAGAGTTTAACACCAGAACTTCCTTGGTGGTCCAGGGGTTAAGAACCTGCCTTCCAATGCAGGGAACACAGGTTTGGTCCCTGGTCAGGAAACTAAGATCCCACACGCCCTGGGGCAACCAAGCACACACGCTACAAGGAACATCCATGTGCCACAACTAAGACACAGTGCAGTAAAAACAAAAATGACATAAATGAATATTTTTAAAAGGTTTACCACCTGTGTGTATATATTTGTATTCCCAAAAATACGTAGTTTAATTTCACCTTAATAATAGCCAGCCCTTGCACAGTCTGTGTTTTATGCCAAGGAGTCTTCTAATCACTTTATATGTATTACCTCATTTCATCCTCACAACAATCTCCTGAAGTATTACCCTCTCTCCATTTTGCAGATAAGAAAGCTGAGGCCCAGGGAGATGAAGTAATTTGCCCAAATTCACACAGATACCAACTGACAGAGTGAGATGAGAACCCAGCCCGGCTCCGGAATCCATGCTCTTGTAAACACGTCACACTCCCTCTCAGACTGTTGGTCCCTTGGTTAGAATTGACCCCAATGTTTACAGCTCTTCCCTGGACCCTTACTTACTCTAGGTGGACAAGGCCTCTGCAAGGGCTGAGAGGCTTACCGACACTCAGACCTGTTTCAGTAGATGAGGAGCTGACCCTTCTGCCAGATGATGTTACATTGGCAAAGCATCCCTTAGATTCCAGAAGATCATTGTGCTTGGTATCTGCAACACATAGATATCACCACTGGATTACATTCATGAAACTACCTCCCACTTGATCTTGTTCCCCAGATGGTAAATAATTTCTTTTAAAAAAAAAAAACTATAAAAAAATTCTCAGAAATAAGAGTCAGACTTCTCTGACGCTGGAGTACATTTTTAGAATAACTGCTGTTCCACCTACCATTTCATGATTCACATGTGTGGCATCTACCGGGCACCTCTGCAAATTCCCACCATCCATCAGTGGGACTACCCCTTAGCCAGGTTTTATTCATTTCCTATCAACTCCCTCTCAAATTCATTTACCAAGTGAATCACATCCTTCCCACACTTGTCAAGTCCCAACTCTATTACCAAACACCTTACTCTTAAGAGGACTTTGCCTGTGACTCTACAAAGTTTAAAGTTTAAATTCTACAAAATCTGTCCTCTCACAATACCCCCATGCTGGAGTTTCTCAGGGTAAGAACTGTTGCATCAGAGTTACCTGAGAGGCCTGTTAAAAATACAGATTCCCAGGATAAAGAAGATGTGATACATAAATACAATGGAATATTACTCAAGCCATTAGAAAAAATGAAATAACATCATTTGCAGCAACATGGATGGGCCTGGAGATTGTCATATGAGTGAAGTCAGACATCCTTTATAAAAATGTGGAATCTAAAAAAAGAATGATACAAATGAACTTATTTACAAAACAGAAACAGACTTACAGACTTAGAGAACAAATTTATGGCTGCTAGTATTCTAACCCTTATGAATATACAGTGGAAGTGAGAAATAGATTTAAGGGACTAGATCTGATAGACAGAGAGCCTGATGAACTATGGATGGAGGTTCGTGACATTGTACAGGAGACAGGGATCAAGACCATCCCCATGGAAAACAAATGCAAAAAGGCAAAATGGTTGTCTGAGGAGGCCTTACAAATAGCTGTGAAAAGAAGAGAAGCAAAAAGCAAAGGAGAAAAGGAAAGATATTCCCATTTGAATGCAGAGTTCCAAAGAATAGCCAGGAGAGATAAGAAAGCCTTCCTCAGCGATCAATGCAAAAAAATAGAGGAAAACAACAGAACAGGAAAGACTAGAGATCTCTTCAAGAAAATCAGAGATACCAAGGGAACATTTCATGCAAAAATGGGCTCAATAAAGGACAGAAACGGTATGGACCTAACAGAAGCCGAAGATATTAAGAAGAGGTGGCAAGAATACACAGAAGAACTGTACAAAAAAGATCTTCATGACCCAGATAATCACAATGGTGTGATCACTCACCTAGAGCCAGACATCCTGGAATGTGAAGTCAAGTGGGCCTTAGAAAGCATCACTACGAACAAAGCTAGTGGATGTGATGGAATTCCAGTTGAGCTATTTCAAATCCTGAAAGATAATGCTGTGAAAGATGATTGCTGCACTCAATATGCCAGCAAATTTGGAAAACTCAGCAGTGGCCACAGGACTGGAAAAGGTCAGTTTTCATTCCAATCCCTAAGAAAGGCAATCCCAAAGAATGCTCAAACTACCTCACAATTGCACTCATCTCACACGCTAGTAAAGTAATGCTCAAAATTGTCCAAGCCAGGCTTCAGCAATACGTGAACTGAGAACTTCCAGATGTTCAAGCTGGTTTTAGAAAAGGCGGAGGAACCAGAGATCAAATTGCCAATATCCGCTGGATCATCAAAAAAGCAAGAGAGTTCCAGAAAAACATCTATTTCTGCTTTATTGACTATGCCAAAGCCTTCAACTGTATGGATGACAATAAACAGTGGAAAATTCTGAAGGAGATGGGAATACCAGACCACCTGACCTGCCTCTTGAGAAACTTGTATGCAGGTCAGGAAGCAACAGTTGGAACTGGACATGGAACAACAGACTGGTTCCAAATAGGAAAAGGAATACATCAAGGCTGTATATTGTCACCCTGCTTATTTAACTTATATGCAGAGTACATCATGAGAAACGCTGAGCTGGAAGAAGCACAAGCTGGAATCAAGATTGCCGGGAGAAATATCAATAACCTCAGATATGCAGATGACACCACCCTTATGGCAGAAAGTGAAGAGGAACTAAAGAGCCTCTTGATGAAAGTGAAAGAGGAGAGTGAAAAAGTTGGCTTAAAACTCAACATTCAGAAAACTAAGATCATGGCATCTGGTCCCATCACCTCATGGGAAAGATGGGGAGACAGTGGAAACAGTGTCAGACTTTATTTTGGGGGGCTCCAAAATCACTGCAGATGGTGATGGCAGCCATGAAATTAAAAGACGCTTACTCCTTGGAAGGAAAGTTATGACCAACCCAGACAGCATATTAAAAAGCAGAGACATTACTTTACCAACAAAGGTCCTTCTGGTCAAGGCTATGGTTTTTCCAGTGGTCATGTATGGATGTGAGAGTTGGACTGTGAAGAAAGCTGAGCGTCAAAAAATTGATGCTTTTGAACTGTGGTGTTGGAGAAGACTCTTGAGAGTCCCTTGGACTGCAAGGAGATCCAACCAGTCCATCCTGAAGGAGATAAGTCCTGGGTGTTCATTGGAAGGACTGATGCTGAAGCTGACACTCCAATACTTTGGCCACCTCATGTGAAGAGTTGACTCATTGGAAAAGACCCTGATGGTGGGAGGGATTGGGGGCAGGAGGAGAAGGGGACGACAGAGGATGAGATGGCTGGATGGCATCACTGGCTCGATGGACATGAGTTTGAGTAAACTTCAGGAGTTTGTGATGGACAGGCAGGCCTGGCATGCTGCGATTCATGGGGTCACAAAGAGTCGGACACGACTAAGCGACTGAACTGAACTGACTGACTGAGTGGGACAAAATGGGGGACGGGATCATTAGGGAGTTTGAGATGAACACTGCTATATTTAAAATGGATAACCAACAAGGACCTACTGTATAGCCCAGGAAACACTGCTCGATGATATGTGGCAGCCTGGGATGGGAGGCGAGTTTAGAATAGACACATATATTTGTATGGCTGAGTCCCATACAAATTGTATGGAACTATCACATTGTTAATTGGCTATACTCCAATAAAAAATTAAAAGTTTTTAAAAAAAGAACTGGGATTGGGGGCAGGAGGAGAAGGGGACGACACAGGATGAGATGGCTGGATGGCATCACTGACTCAATGGACATGAGTTTGAGTAAACGCCAGGAGTTGGTGATGGACAGGGAGGCCTGGCATGCCGTGACTCACGGGGTCGCAAAGAGTCGGACACGACTGAGCGACTGAACTGAACTGAACTGAAAATAGATAACTAACAAGGACCTGCTGTAAAGTACAGGGAACTCTGCTCAATACTCTGTAATAACTGAAATGGGAAAAGAATTTTAAAAAGAGTAAATACATGTCTGTGTATAACTGAATCATTTTGCTGTACACCTGGATCTAATACAACATTGTTCATCAACTACACTCCGATATAAAAATTAAAATTAAAATTAAATATAAATTTTATAAAAATTAAAATTAATATAAAAATTAAATGGGGGTGGTGGGGAAAAAAAACAACATAAAACATTAAAAAATAAGAAATAATTCAAAAATACCGATTCCCAAATCCCATTACAGACCCATCAAACCGGAATCTTGGTCAGTGAATCCTGGGAATCCACATTTTGAAGAAGCCTCACTCCCTCAGTAGTTCTTAGGTTCGTGTCTGGCAGTGAAATTCCTCCTTTTCAAGCCCAGTTCCATCACTACACTCATTCTATCCTTCTCCTCTTCTTGATTCTCCACATGCATCCAATGATGAGAATCAACTCGGGACACCTGTTCAACATGCAGATTCCAGGGCTCCAAGCCGACTTACTGGGAGGGGTGGGAGGCAACTCGGGAATGTGTATGTTTAAGAAGCACCTCGGGTGGTTCTCAGAGCCAGCCAAGTGTGGGAAGAGCTGTTTTGGCACGAGGCTCTGAGCCATGCCTTGGAGGAGGGCATGGCAGCCCACTCCAGTATTCTTGCCTGGAGAATGAACAGAGGAGCATGGCGGGCTGCAGTCCACGGGGTCGCAAAGAGCTGGACATGAGTGAGCGACTAAGCACAGCATGGCATGCAGCCTAGAGCAGCCTTCCATACATGAGGGCCAACTGGTTGCTTGAGGAGTGACTAGTTGGGATGGAGTGGAACCCAGTGGAGGGCAGAGCTGTGAAGAAAGAGCACAGGTCTCCAGCAGCCCCAGATTGGAGCCACAAATGTGGTATCAAGAACATAATACAGACCACACTCTCTGACCACATGCAATACTATTAAAAATCAATAATAAAAAGACAGCCAAAAAACACCCATAAGCTTGGAAACTCAAACCACATCTCCAAACATTTCACATAATAGAAGAGAGCATAATGTTTCTCATGAGGTAATTAATGATCAATGACATAAGTACAATATATCAAAACTTGTAGATTCAACTAAAGCAGTAATTAGAACCTAGAGCCTTAAATGCATACACTGTATTTTTCTGAATGTAAGACACCATCAGTTGTAAAAACATTATTATTTTATGGACCACAAAGAACAGAGGCTGCCAGTTAAATTATGACACATGCTTTATCATTTTGGACTTTTATATTTATTGAAGAATCCTTTAGACTTACTTAGATATAGATTTTAATCCTGTGCATATTTAAAGAAGGAAAATAAAAGCAAAATGAAATGGCTAAAGGCACTCGTGGGGCTTTCCAGGTGGTGCTAGTAGTAAAGAATTGCCTGTCAATGTGGGATACTCAAGAGACTCGGGTTTGATCCCTAGGTCAGGAAGATCCCCTGGAGTAGGAAGTGGCAACCCACTCTAGTATTCTTACCTGGAAAAATCCATGGACAGAGGAAAGGAGTCGGACAAGACTAAGCAACTGAGCACAAGGCATTCTTAAACCTTACGCACATTCAAAAGTCTTATTACTGAATCACTTTTCACCTCAATCCCTGATGTCCACATTTTCCACCAAAATTGATCTCAATGCAACAAGAATGTAGGTGACAGAGCATTTCTTAAGTGCTTCTGGAATTTTCTTCCAAACCACAGACACACCTCTGCGTTATTCAGTGCTCATCCAGCAAAGTGTATACCAACTACTTCACAGGGGCTACTGGGCCCATGGCACTGGTAAGACCCATCCAACTTCAGAGACACAAGCTGTGAAAAATGTCCATCTTACAAGTGACAGGTTATAGTGTCAGAAAACAAAGATTCTAAAATTAATGACCTAAACTTTCAATTCAAGATATAAGGGGGAAAAGACAAATGCCCCAAAATGATAAGGAAAGAAATAATAAAAGCAGAAATGAATGAAATAAAGATGATTATCAGAATTAGCGGTTCATGAAAAAAATTTAAAATGTAGATAAAGTTCAAGAAAAATTTTTAATATAAGTAAACAGTATAAGAAATGAAAAAGAGGCCATAATTACAAATAAAACAGAAATAATTTTACCCATAAAGAAATTGAGTACCAGAAATATCAAATAACTTGCACAAGTTTACAGAACAATGGAGTATAATGCATAAAATGTAGTTTAGAGTCTTCCCTGGAGGTCCACTGGTTAAGACTCTGAGCTTCCACTGCAAGGGGCATGGGTTTGATCCTTGGTTGGGGAACTAAGATCCCCATGTACTACACAGTGCAGCCAAAAACCAAAACAACAAAAAATGTAACTTAATGTTGCAATAATCATGATGGAACTGACACAAACCCTGACAGTAAATCAATAGAACAAAACAGCAAATGTAGCTAGGATAAAATTTTATGTGATAGTAGTGGCATTTTACCACAGTGAAGAAAGAATGGATCATTCAAAAAAATATTTCTGTAACAACTAATTAACCATTTGGAATAAAAATAAAATTAAACCTCCCTTATCCCAAATTAAATTTCAAATGAATTACAAATTTCAATACAAAAATTAAAAGATGTATCTGAAAAAATAATAAGTGAATGTTTAAATAATGTTAGAGTGGGGAAGTTATTTCTAAGAAAGGTATCAAATACAGGCAAAAAAAAAAGATGCACAGATTTGAATACACACACATTTAAAACTTTCATAGCAAACTATAAATAGATTTATAACATACAGGATATAAAAAGAGCTAATAATCATGACAAAGCATGAGTTTTTAAAAATTTATAAGATGAAAATCTTATACCCAACAGAAAAAAAAAATGAGCAAAAGACATAATTAGGTAATTCACTAAACACACATATATAGACAGTGTATGTTTGGGGAAAAAAAATTCATCCTTACATTAGTAAAAGAGCTGAACTTAAAACAAGATATTATTATTATTTGCTATCCATTTACAAATACCTAAGGCTGGCACAGCTTGGAGGAATGACATTCTTGTACACTGCTGCTGAAAAAATCTCCATCTTACTGAAGAGTAATTTGCCCATTTATGTCCTCCAAAATCTATGAGAAGGGCTCTTTCATTCCAAGGTTCTACTTTCAGTAACATATCTATGAAAAGGGTATGAAACGTATATATAAAGATGCAGAAAGGATCCACATATGTAAAGGAAAAAATAAGATTAAGAGCAGAGATGTCTTCTGGGTTGAGACTCATATCAGTTTTGAGTTACTTATCATAGCATTTACGTGTGATAATACTTGCTGGTAGGTTTTAACAGGGACTGCTTTTTCTAAATAGTTCACATTGTATATTGTATTCGGCCACTAGGGGGACTGGCGAATTCACCAAAGCAAGGCTTGTTTGCTAAGGATGGTATCAGAGGGGGCCCCCTCACAAGTTTTGGGATTTGTTTTATTTTGAGAGGTAAAAGGTAAATATATTATGCAACCCTAAGCAGAGAGCCAGTGAAATCATATCTACAAATTTAGCCTATTTCCCTGTTTACTTAAGAAGTTTTGTGATGGCAACATTCTAGAAAGCGGCTTGCAGCTGCCTAACAGCAGACTGCAGACTTTGACCAGCAAGGGCCAGAAGAGGGGTCTGTCTGCTCAACTGGCACTTTCTCCAGACCCGGCTGACTTCTGGGAATTCCTAAAAGAAACTCAGCCTCAAACATGACCTGGAGACACTTAAGCCTGACCCCAGGCTGCCTCTCCACATCTCCTCAGGTGGGAGAAGAGGACTGGAAATGCAAGTCCGAACCATCCCATTCTGATATTGATGCCTCTGCTGTGTAGAGTAACATCAAGTTACTTTCAGCAAGTCAGTGACCTGTCATGCCCAGCTCACAATGCCGGCCCCACCTCTCTATCTAGCACTGGAGCCTGAGACATGGTAAGTTAAGGAACATCCTTCTTGAAGGGTCACCATGTATCATGCTCATTGTTACTCAAATGCAAAAGATATCCAGTGAGCCATGAACTTGAAAATCCTAAGTCAAAACACTTTGAGACAAAAAAAAAAAAAAGATGGTCCAACCTAAGAGAAAGTTTTGATGACTAGAAAGGAATCGAGGGGGGAAAAAAATCTGTTTCAGAAGAAAGTCTGTTTCTTTGGTACCATCTGTGAAATTCACAATAATTATTTCCATTTCCGTTAGGCAAGAATAACACCTTATGTAACCAAGGCACTTTCACAAGGCTTGTCATCTCAGCTGAGTTACACAATAGCACTGTCTGGCGGGGAGAAAATAATACAGCAAGCCAAGTTAGCTTCTTGTGAATACTCTTTAACCAAACACTCGGTTTCCAATCCCTGTTTATCTGCTCGACAAACAAACGAAAGATCTAGGACAGTGGTTTTTAACTCTTTTTTGAATCACAGACTGCCCCCCAAGAAATAAATAAAGTCCTGGGTCCTCTCTGCTGGAAAAATGCATACACACCCAGAGTTGTGCACTCAGCCTATGCTGGTTCGTGGATCCATGCTCCTTTCCTTACTGAAACCTGTGGACTCCACGTGAAGCTGAGCTCAGATGTAGTCTCCTGATGGATACACCTCTCCAGCAGAAAAGGAAGCCATGGGTCTTTGGTTAATGTGGCGTGGCAACCTCAGGGGCTGGTGTTCTTCCAGGAGCCCTGACCTAGAAACCTGAAACCCTTTTACCCACCCTTAAAACAGCAGCATCCTTCTTTAGGCCTGGTCAACCTGAAAACTGCGGAACATTCTGGAGCTTAAAGCTAGAATCCCAGAACCTTTTTCTCCTTGCTGAACTAGCCACATTGGGCAATGAGTGGCTCTAATTTCTACTGCTCCACTGGCCCCTGCTTGTAAGAAAAAGTGAAAGTCTGAGTCACTCAGTGGTGTCCGACTCTTTGCACACCCTATGGATGGTAGCACACCAAGCCCCTCTGTCCATGGGATTCTCCAAGCAAGAATACTGGAGTGACAACATGTCATTCCCTTCTCCAGGAGATCTTCCTGACCTAGGGATTGAACCACAGTCATTGTGGGCAGATTCTTTACCGTCAAAGGCACCAGGGAAGCCCCAGTTGTGGGTAGGTAGTAAATCATACCGCCACCATCTCCCTGCACTTGTAAATGGAGGGATCACAGACCTGGAATACAGAAGACCAAAGACCAAGTTCTAATGGGCAGAGACGGAAACTTCTACACTCTCTTTTTGCCGCATGAAGGCTACCCACTTACATGTACTTACTCGGGGGTTTTCTGAGACACTGTGGCTGTTTTACTCCACAGCACTGTTCTCTAAAGGCAAATGTACCCCTAAACATTCTCTTCAGCCATAAAAATCAATCACAGAGCGCCCATCCACTGTTTACTTTAAATCTTTCATTAAAGTGTTCCTCATTTCTACCTGAGCTGTCCCATCCAAAAAACAGTGCCACAAATCTGATATATGAGCAAAGAGAAAGAAAAAGAGGGGGCCTGGGTTTGGAGACGGGAAGACTCATGTCAAATCCCAGCTTTATCATTTATTGACTCACACACTGGGCAGGTCAAACCTATGTCCTCCTTCATTCTTTGTAATATACCTCTCGGTGAGATATATTAGGAGATCCAGGGAGGTCATTTATGAGAACTCCTAATGCTGCTCTCTGCCTTACCAGAACTTGGGTTAATACAAATAGTCCTATTACAGGGTCCCAAACTAGCCTTCTTTTAAACGTCAAACGATGCCTTCTGGCTCAGTGTACTTAGCTGGAGCAACCAAATCCCAGTCAGCCCTCCTGATTTTTTAGACTCAACTGTATCTCTTCTCTCCCGTGGTGATGTCAGAGTCTCCTTTGTCTTGAACCTTCTTCAGGTCTCTGCTGTAGAGGGGGCGGAGACGACAGCCCCCAGGACCGCTTCCAGGGTCCATGGACTCAGCCGTGCAAATGCTGATTTAAATATTAAAAAGCGAGCCGGAGACAAAGAAAAGACCTTTGTTTAAAAAAAAAAAAAGTATCAATCAAAGGAAGCAGAAACTTCAGGGGCCACTGAAAGTCGAGAGGGCAGGGCTGGCCTCTTGATCAAGGCTTCTCTCGCTTTCTCTGATTGGGCGTTTCCGGGTTCGGAGCTCCCGGCCCTCGCCCCGCCCACCGAGAGGCTCCTTCCCTGCCTCCGCTGGGTGGTCCACCCCTGCCCCCAGCGGAGGCCTGGCTCTACGTTCCGAGGCCTCCAAGGAGGATACGGCCGACATCAACTCACCAACCCCAACCGGCAGCCGAACTGCAGGCCGAGGATCCGAGAGCCAAGGGCAAGAGGGACGCCGCAGCCACCTGCCTCACCCGCGGAGGCGCGTTCCGGGGTTGCCAGGACACCGGCCCAGCCACGCGCGCCGCCGCCTCCCGCCAGGCGGTGCTTCCCGATCCTCTTGGCTTCCCCCGGCTCTCTGAGCCGCCGCACGTGATGGAGTCTTTTGAAGGAGCAAAACCAGAGTCTCTAGCCCTGTCGGGGCGTGGTGGGCAAGGACCAGTGGAAAAGTGACTTTGTGTTTATGATTTTTTTTTTTTCTTTTTCTTTTTAAGAACTGTAGGGACTTTCCTGGTGGTCCGAGTGCCTAAGACTCCCGTGCTGCCAATGCAGGGAGCCCGGGTTCCATTCCTGATCAGGGAACTATACTGTGAGAGGCAACTAAGACCCGGTGCAGCCAAGTAAACAAATAATTTTTTTTTAAATTGTGGTTCTTCTCCAGGCAATTTTCATTATCGGACTGTAGCCTCTGGTGGCAGTGAATGATGAGCCCTCCGCAAAGCTTGCGGATGCCGTCTTATAAGTGGCATTGATTGGACAGGATCACCTAACACTTCAGAGCGTCTTTTCTGGGCCAGGCGCCCTGGTGGATGTTATCTTCCTTAAGCAGCCAGCTGCATTTTTCAAAATAGAAAGCTGAGTTTGAGCAAGGGTTTGCTCAAGGTCACCAGAAAACTGAGATTCATTTCCAAGTTTTCTCACTCCAAATCTACCACTCTGTCCATCATACCAACTTAAATTTATCTTACTTAACTCTTAGCAGCAGCTGATCAATCTTGCAGGCAAACCTTCTCTCTGACTCTAGTTTAAGTCCCTCAGTTCAAATCCTGATGCAATTTTTCCCTTGGTGAAGTGGAAAAAAATTAGACTGTGTTTTTATTTTAATAAAATTTTTACTGATCGTAAAACAAAAAAGTAGTCATTCTAGAAACCTTGAAAAAAAATTTAAAAGTATTGCTGCCCAGCTAACATTAAGATGCTGCGATGCCAGGAAGGCAGAGATTTTTGTCTGTTTTGTTCACTGCTATACACCAAGCATGTAGCACAGTGCCTGGCACATATAGGCACTCAATAATCACTGTTTAACAAATAAATGGGTGGATGGACTATTGATTTAAATGGCCTGAGCTGAGCTCCTCCCTCTTCTGTTTTCATCCTCTTGGAAAGAGACCAGGTCTCTAATCTGCACCATCAGGTTTCAAGACAGCAGGACAGACAACAGAGCCCAAACTCTCTCATCCTAGACGAACCCTGTGTACTGTAACTCCTAAACCTTCCCTTACTCTGCAGCTTTAAAGCCTCCTGGGCCACTTTGCGTTCATCCCCTGGGCAAGTTTTAGATGCCTCCCATCCTGGGCTGAGGTCTGGCAGGGCATGGGAGTCACCCTAAGAAGTTCTTGGGGGCAGCGGAGCTCCAGAAGCTGCCTGGCTGCCACGGTTCAGCAGTAGAGGCGAGGGTTTGGATGCTCGGTGCATCCAGAAGCTCAAGGCCTCCTGAAGCTCCTGGAAAACCTGTGGGTACAGCCCAGAGGGCGAGGGCCATCCAGCAAAAAGGGTTTATCTGGGAACTCTCACCAGCATCCTCTCTCTTGGCTGCATCCCCCCAAATCAAGCCTGGCACAGAGGTCACCGCAGAACCCATACGGAAACAGAGGGTTGATGCAGAAAGCGGGCCGATCTTGGGCCCCTGAAATCAACCTTCTCAAGGGCTGTAGGGCCTTCCTTGCAGCTCTGCAGCCTGGGATCCTGCCGTGCCATGAGCTGGGTCTGAATGAGCTGGGGGAGGGAAGAGGGGTCCCGAATGAGCGGGGTTGGGATCCCAGGGCCATCACTAGCACATATAGGGTTTAGTGCCTAAATAGGGTTTTTTTTTAATCGATGTTTTTGTGGGTCATAAGTTGTTGTATATCAACATTTTCATGATCCAACCTAACCATAAAAGGCAAATGCTTCTAGGAGGTTCCATGGCGAGGTGGAAAGAAGGTGAGCTAGACCTTAGCCCCACCAACCCCTCTGCCCTGCAGAACCTCACTTTACGGACTGGGGGCTCAGCTCTGAGAAGGGACGGCAGAGCGAGGCAGTTGGTGGGAAGAGGTAAACCTGGAATGTGTTGCAGACGCTGGCTAGGGAGGGCCAGTTCTGGTTTTTGCTTGGCCTGCTGTGAATCCAGACCCTTTAGAACAAATAGTGAGGCAGTTATAGGAACCAGGTGGGTGCGTACCTAGTCGCTTCAGTCATGTCCAATTCTTTGCGACCCTATGGACTATGGCCCGCCACACTCCTCTGTCCATGGGATTCTCCAGGCAAGAATACTGAAGTGGGGTGCCATACCCTCCTCCAGGAGATCTTCCTGACCCAGGGATTGAACCCTCATCTCTTCCATCTCCGGCATTGGCAGGCGAGTTCTTTACCACCAGCGCCACCTGGGAAGCCCAAGAACCAGGTGCCTAGGGAATTACAGGAAACCAGACAGCAGAGGGGGAATCAAATAAACTCTACCCCTGTTCCTTTGGGGTCTTTAGCAGAACACAGGGAAGAAACCTGATTCTAGAAGGATGGCATTGTGTGATAGTCAAGCAGTCAGGGGCATGGTAAAATGCTTCTTGTGTCTGATAAACCTCAAGAGTTTCCATCTAAATGGGGGGGGTCCTTAAACATTAACTCTCCCCCTAGTTACATGGCAAACAGTGCATATATGGGAACCTCTTTTCTCCAATGTCAAGAAAAAGTCCCCACAAACCCATCTGACATGCATGTCCCACAAACACACACCAGAGGGCAGTGTAAACCAGGACATGAGGAAAAAAATCACAGAGCCTCCTACAAAGAGGGTGCTGGGGAAATGGGTGTTGGGTGGATTACTGATGCACCATTGTCTTTGAAAACTTTCAGTGGTAGACAGAGGGGACCTGGCAATGCGGTTGGGAGGGAGCATTTGTACCTCAGAACCTGCTACCACCACCAGCTCCCAAACCCTCAAGGACTTCCTATCAGGTCAGGTCAGGAGACAGCTTCCAAGCACCTCCCATGTGCGAGGCACTGTGCTAGGGGCAGGGATTTGAAAGTGAGTAAAACCCAGTCCCTTCTCCAACTGAGCGCCTATGATGTGCCCATCTCTTTACATTCCTTATCCCATTTAACACTCACAATGGCAAAGTGCTATGAGAATCATCCCCATTTTACAGATGATGAAAAACAGACTCAGAGGGGGTAAGATACTAGTCCCACTTAGGGCATGCTAAGTCGCTGCAGTTGTGTCCAACTCTGCGACACTGTGGACTGTGGCCCATCAGGCTCCTCTGTCCATGGGATTCTCCAGCAAGAATATTAAAGTGGGTTGCCGTGCTCGCTTCGGCAGCACATATACTAAAATTGGAATGATACAGAGAAGATTAGCATGGCCCCTGCGCAAGGATGACATGCAAATTCGTGAAGCGTTCCATATTTTTCGGCCCACTCAAATGAAGCCAAGCAAGGCCCGGCCAACTGGTCGACCCGTCGGTCCATCGGCCCGGAGCCCAAGTGGGCCCTGGCCGGCGGCTCAAGCACACACACACCACACACACCCATGGACCCACATACACCGCACACACCGCACCCACACCCCCACCACACACACACACACACACACCCACCCCCACCACACACACACACACAAATAAATAAATAAAGTGGATTGCCATGACCTCCTCCAGGGGATCTTCCTGACCCAGGGATCGAATCCATGTCTCAAGTCTCCTACATTGGCAGGCAGTTTCCTTACCACTAGAGCTACCTGGGAAGCCCACTAGTCCCACTAGTAACTGGCAAAATTGGAGTTTAAACCAGGTCTGTCTAGATTCAGAGCTGGGGCCCTCACTACTGTGAACCTTCTTTCTAAAAAAATTCATTTATGTATTTATTTGGCTGCTCCAGTTCTTAGTTGCCTCATGTGGGATCTAGGACCTTTGTTGCAGTATATGGGATCTAGTTCCCTGACCTGGGATCGAAGCCAGGTCCCCTACGTTGGGATCGTGAAGTCTTAGCCATGGGACCACCAGGAAGTCCCCAGGAGCCTTCATAGTGTGTGCTCTCCCAAGGTGACTAAGAGGATTAATGAATAAACACACGTAAAGTGCTTAGCACACTCTGTCCAAGGTAAGAAGCCAATAAGTGTGCACTTTTGTTAAGAGCACTTCCTCCTGTGACTGCTTTCTCTAACTATGAAGTGCCAACTCAAATCTGAAGCGAGGGGAGCTGAACAGCATCTGGCCTGTTCTATCAGAGAATGGCGAAGAGAGAAAACAGTAGATGTGATTTTCACTTTTGCAAGTTGTTGAAGAGCTTCCCTGGTGGTCCAGTGGCTAAGACTCTGAGCTCCCAATGTAAGGGGTGCTGGGTTTGATCCCTGGTCAGGAAACAGTCTCACATATCGAATCTAGACTTCACGTGCCACAGCTAAGAGCTTGCATGCCGAAACTAAAACCTCATTCCACAGTGAAGATCTAAGCTCCTGAGTGCCTCAACTAGGACCTGTCACAGCCAAGTATATAAATAACTTTTTTAAAAAAGACATACTCAGGAACGTTCTGTCCTTAGATCACTCATATTTTTATTATTCTTTTTTTGCTGGTTTTATTTTCTATA